CAAAGGCCTTTTTTCTCTCCTTATGTGTGGATGAATTATCCCTACTCACAATGAAAAGCAAAGAGGAACGGCAAGAAATTATTCCAAAGGGGAAGAGGAGACACCTGGGAAGGCGCACACGCACACGCACACACATGCGCGCGCACACACACACACACACACCCTCAGAGGTTGTCAGCACTGAAAATAGTGACTGACCAGGTCCACCCTGATTTGCTCACCTCTGCAGGGCCCCGTGATTACGGGAGGGAAAGGGAGGGAGATGTTATTTTTGTAAAGCTGTCTGCTATTTAAGCTTGACAGAATTCATTGCAGAGTGCCCCGATCCTCCGGCTGGGAAAAATAAGCTAGCAGACAGGTTTGATTAAGACCGAGAAGCCCCCCGGGCATCGATAACCTAGATAAGAAGGTTAGACAAGAGAATTAAAATCGGGGTCTCGGGGAGCTGTGGGCGCTTCTGTGCACTGCACTCACGATGGCCAAGATGCGAAACCGCCCAAATGCCTGTCGACAAATCGCTGGCTTTTTAAACTGTGATGCACAGACCTGTGTGGCGGGTGCTGCTCTGTGCGCCTGGGTCCCATCAGCAAACAGAACAGACCGAAAAGCCATGCCTTCCCGGAGTTCACGCTCTATTGCCAGTTCTCAGAAATGCCCCACGTGCTGGAATAGAATGTATATTCTTTACTTTTTTGGTGCAGTTTTTCTGCAGATGGCCATTAGTTCAGGATTGCTTGTTCTATATGTGGCCATTAGTTCAGGATTGCTTATCTCGTTGCTCAAATCGTGTACATCCTTACTGATTTTTTTGCCTGCTTCTTCTATCGGTTTCTAAGAGAGATGTGCTAAGATGTCCTGCTGTGTTTGTGGATGTCTGTTTCTCGTTGTTAATTAGCCCCTGAGGAGGCATATCCTTTTGAAAGACGAGAAAACGCGTTCTGGAATTAAGAAACACGTTTTATCTCGCCGAGTCTGTAAAGGGCGGGTCCAGGCTTCCGCTCCAGTTCTTGACAGTGACAATGCTAACTGCATGACTGCTGTCATCGGCTTAGTCTAACAACTTCATCCAGCAACGACAACACGCGTGTCTCCTCATCCTTTGGGAATGTCCTCCTCCCAGACTTGAACCAAATTCTCCATCCGAGTTCCCTGCTGCCCGGCCAGCGGGGCACGGTCCCCGGACCGGCCACCACAGTGTCCCAGGCCGCACCCCCACACCAGGCCGACGAGAGGCCTTCCTCTGGAGACCGACGCCTGTCTGCCATGTTGCTTTCCAACAGTTATTCGGTTCCCAGCCATGTCCGAAAGTAGCAAGGTGCCTCGTCAGGATACGAGGATAATGACTTTTAAATTTTTTATTTTTAGAAAGGGGGAAGGGAGAGAGAAAATGTCCACCAGCTGCCTCCTGCATGTGCCCTGACGGGGAACTGCACCGGCCACCCGTGGGATGACACTCACCCAGCGGAGCCACGCCGGCCAGGACAAGGTTCATCTTTGTTTTGCTGTTCATCAAGGGCATTCTTCTCTTCTACACATTCATCTCCACACACACACAAAAAAATGTCCTGGATTTCCTTCTTCTTCCATCACCAGAGCTGGAACACATCATTTTCCCTGTTAACAAAAAAAAAAAATTCGAGTGCCATCTCGAGTTTACTTCATTGCTGCAGGAAGACGGGTTTATCCCCCAAACCATTAGGCGATACTACTTGCTAGGAACTATGCTGGGTGGCGTGGTGGGTTCGGAATGCAGTGAGACGTGGGCCCAGTCTGGGAGGACACAATGCAGAGGGGAAAGTCCTGTGAAATGTGCAGAACGTAGGGACTACAGGTGCATGGGCAGTGGGGGCAGTTCACTCAGCCAAGGGGTAGGAAGTCAGGGAAGGCCTCACAGAGGAGGTGACATTTCCAGTTGCATCTTGAAGTGAAATCTGATCAAGAAAGCGTAGTCCAGGAAAAACACATGCAAAAAGAAGAAACATGACTCTCTGCACCAGTATGAACAGTTCTAAATGACTGCTCATTTATTTTTTTCACTGCCATGTTTTCAATTTCTTCTTGACACTCTAACCAGGGTTTGCAAACACGGGGCACCCATCTTGCCGCCGGCCCCCTCCCCCGCCATGGCGGACATCTCCAACTGAACACGGAATCCTTTCTTTAGTCTACTCAACGCTAGGTTCCGTGATTAAGAGAAAGTCAACACAGTCGGTCATCAGCAATGAGACAGTGTACACCGAGGAGACATCTGCCCACGTTTCTAACTTGATCGGGTGGACACGAGGAAACGGTGTCCATCCAGAACGGAGGTGGAGAAGCCAGGGCCTACAATGTCACCTGGGCAATTTTTTAAGTTCCAAACCTTAAGCCACAACCGAGACTGCTTAAAATCCCAAATTCTGGGGACGGGGAAAAGGCTTTTGTGTTTCCCAAACTCCCCGAGTAATTTCCAACGTGCCGACAGGCTTGAGAACGACTGTGACCTCATCACAGATGTGCGGGGCCGGAAGGGCTACGAAACCAGCCGCTCCGCCCAGGAAGAGAGTGCGCTACGGCTCCGTTTTGATGGCCTGATGCCACGTCTCCTTAGAAACGGTTATTTTCATTTCTAGCTGTTAGAGAAATGGCTAAGTACTAAAGCTTTAAGGGCAAGCAGCGTAACAACCCAATGATCTTAATTTTGCTACGCTGAACCTTCTTTCTAGATACTAAATTTGCATATAGGAAAAAACTCAGGTACGTTAAGTATGAATGAAATTGTACTGTGCCAAATTAAAAAGAACAGTGCCTGCCGAAACAGGATACTCAGCAGCACTGCCCCAGATACCGCGAAGTCTTCTGACATGCTGCTTATTTACCTGGAATGTGAGGTCCCAGTTCACTGAGCACAGAAAATGTTCCTTTGAAAACAGAGCCAATATCAATACTATGCTAATATCGTTGCAAAAACAATTCGACCTCTTAATTCTACCACAATGACTCAAAATTGTGAGAGAAAGTCTTCAGCTCTTCCATTCAATCAGAATTTCAAGATCTCTCTCACGGAGGAAGAATAAAAGGAGAGCGTTTTCAAAACCTTTCAGCATCTTACTGTCCTTTTCAACTGCAAATGTAAAAACGCATTTGTACTGTATTGATGCAGCCTGCAAAGTGAAGGCCAGTGTAAGAATGTAACTGACGTTTACAAGCAGCTCGGCTCTGCTTTTCTTTTTTTCTGCGTGAGGAACAACTGCGCCGATTTCCATGAGAAAGCTCCCAGCTGAGGGCAGGAGAGGGGGCAGCGGACTGGGGTGGGACCCTGTGACCCCCAGCGGCCCCTCACTGCTCTGAGACAGGGAGAAGACCCGGAGCACTGCTGGGAGCAAACGGAAGCAGTCAGGTGGGAAGTGTTTTCAAGTCCATACGTATCACTCATTCGTCTACTTCCTTCCAGACAGAGCGAGCTCACGAAAGGAAGTCCGATGGATTCCGAAGGGTGTCACTCTTTTCCCATCTCTAAACGGAAAGTAACAGGTCCAAGCCCAGTGTAGCTTCAAAATACTTATGACCCACAACTCACCTATTCAACATGGACAACGCAGACCAACTGTATTGGTGCTCTGGTTAAAAATTACCCTATCTGGCCTTGACTGGTGCAGTTCAATTGGTTGGGCGTCGTCCTGCAAAGTGAAAGGTGGCCGGTTCGATTCCCGGTCAGGGCACATGCGCAGGTTGTGGGTTCAGTCCCCAGCCAGGGCATGTTCGAGAGGTTTCTCTCTCACATCAATGTTTCTCTACCTCTCTCCCCCCCTCCTTTCCCCTCTCTAAAAATAAAATCTTTTTAAAAATTACTCCATCGGTTCTTTGCTCCTTGTAATCCCCATTGAAGCAATGCCCCCTGAGAAACAAGAGACCCCACAGAATTCAGCTCCCACTCCAGGGACCCTCCAGCCTGTCCCAGTGAGATAAACGCTGTGAGGAATGGAGCGCCCCCTGGAGGCCAGTCTCCCAGAGTCTTATTAAAACGTGGCTCACAAATACGGTCCCTGGAGTAACAGTATCACCGGCATTACCTGGAACCGGCTAGAAGTGCAGATCCTAGGGCCACACCTGTCTGAGTCCGTCGGGCCACCGTAATGTGCCACAGCAGAGACCCGTTTCCCCCAGTTCTGGAGGCCGTGGGTCCGAGATCTAGGTGCTGGTGGGTCCCCTGTCCGGTGAGAGCCGTTTCCTGGCTCACACTCGGCACCGTGTAGCTGCAACCACAGCCCGTGGGAGGAGGAGGAGCGAGGGAGCTTCCTTGCCCCGCCCCTTTTTTCCTCCGGGCACTAACCCCTTTCATACAGGCTCCGCCCTCTAACCTCATCATCCCCCCCCGAGGGCCCCCACCTCCCAGTACACTCTCAGCAGGGGTGAGGACTCCCACCTCTGCATCCTGGGGAGACATTGAGTGGGGTAGGCTCCAGCTCAGCTCAGGTCAGCTGGGGGTCAGCACCCCCCCTCGGGGCAGCCGTCTGTGTCCCGGCCGGCTCCACGGTGACTCGGACACACGCTCGATTCGAGAGCCACTGCGCTGGTGACCCTGCACCCCGGAGGGAGGTGCCGCCATGTAAACAACTTAATCATACCAGCGTGGACCAACCTGTCTGTCCTCCAGGGAGACAGAAAAACAAAGCTGGTGCTTGTATCAGGCAAAAACGTGGAGCTGAGATTTAAGAAATGTCATGAGACCCAACTGTGGTTTAATGTCTGAGAAAAAGCTCTCGGCAATGCTGGAATTATCCCCCAAATGTCCCTTGATGCGAACGATAAAGTAACGTGCGTGTGTAAATGCCATGAACAGAAGGGCGTGGGCAACCCCAGCACCCGCCCCACGCCCACTGAGGAAGAGGACCAAGTGGCTCTGCGGGCCCCGAGCTGCGCTCCGCCACACACCGGTCCGTGGTTACCGACCACACGCCGAGGCTGAGCACGTCCATGGCCAAGGTGGAAATGAAAATGACAATAAAAAACCCACTCCGTATTTTCATGATCTTTTTTATTTAACATACGTAGTACATGTAAACAACTGGCATAAAATTCATAAAAATACAATACTCCTACATAATATCCCTTTGTTCCTGAAACACCCTCTCATTCTCTCCTTAGTATCGTGGCCGTCTTAACTCCACACTCTCCTGCTGCGGGGTGTTGGAGGTGCACCTCTGTGCGGAGACACGGCCAGGCTCTGTCCCTCCTCGTCCCAGCAACGGCTGCTTCCGTCGCCTCCCGGCCGCCCCCACCTTCCTCACACAAAAGCAAAAATATCTCCCAGTGCTAAACATAAGCAAAACACTGAGCTTTAATACTGTTCCGTCGTGTGGGTCAAACCTACTTCTACACTTCGTCGCCGCAGGAGAGGTTCGTGAGTGACAGCACCGGCGGCTCCCCGGGAGCGGCACAGCGCCGGGCAGCCTCGGCTGTTCCACGGCGTCTGGCCCGGCGCCGAGCAGAGCCGGCCGGGGGGCTACGTCAGCAACTTCGGTCACAGGTGGTCTTCACACACAGAATCAGCTTGACAGCTTTTGCCCTGTCCAGCACAGGAAACAGTTCTAACAGTATTTCAGTGTTTTTCCCATACTGAATTCCAACCTTCACCTGTGAGCTTTATTACGAAGGGAATGAGGAGTGGGCAGGAAGAACAGAGAGTAATATTAAAAGTGCCATCTAAAAGCCACATTTGGGTGAGAAGCAACGGCAGACAGAGCCCAGCGCGCCCCCTCCTGCCGCCCTCGAGGTGCCCTCTTCCCGCGTTCCTGGACGGCTGCATCACTGCTCAAACGCCACTCCTAGTCCACACCACTCCTAGTCCACGACTCCCGGCTGCTTCCCTGTTTTCTGAAAGTGGCAAAACCCCAAGAGATAAGAGTCACACAGCAGGCGAGAAGGGGGCTGGCACTTGAAGAGGCTGAGAGAACCTGGGGGCTGGCGGGCAGGGCAGGGCAGGCGCCCGCCCACTCCACTGCCCACCCTGGGCTGCAGCGGCCCCGGGCAGCCACGTCCAGGGCTCCGGGCGAGGCAGGAGCCAGGCCTGCGGGCCGGGTGTCCGGGACACCCCGCTGGGAGGGGTGTCTGCCTGCGGCGAATCCCGAGAACACCGTGTAACTGCATGGGGGGTCCGCCGAGGCGGGGTTTGCCTGGAGTTTAAAGCCCCAAAACCACTTCTCAGCCATACAAGGGATTCACTGTTTTGCAAGATCTCATTCCACACAAATCACCTTCTAAAAAACAAAAATTCATCCTAGGAATTCAAAGCAGGTTCAGAAGGTTTTTAAAATAAAAATAAATAGGAAAAGAAAGAAGAAGAAGGCTGAATATATTCATCCTCATACTGCAATGGTTTTTTGAACCAAAACTCTAAGGCTTAAGGCTTTGTCTTGTTAAAGACGGGCAATTTAAAATAAAAATATAAAAACTCCATTCACTTATCATTGTTCACTTACTTTTTGACAGAAAAATTAGTTATGTTTTATTGTATCTTAATAGTAAAAGAAAAACTGCCACGCACTACAGTCTATTGTTCCACAGCACATTATGTCTACAGAAATATACGTTAGTTTCTGGATGCACTGCATTTGAGGTTGTTCAAAATAGTTTTTCTTAAAACTATAATTAGACATGAAAAGTTTTAAAAGTGGTTTAAAGGTATTAAAATATACACATTTGAATAATACTAAAAATGAGAAAATACACAATTGCCATTAATATTTTTTAACCAAGAAAAAGTACTTGATACGAGAAACTAAATGAGTAAATACCACTTATCTGACAAAGAATGATGGGAGAGAGAGGGAGGCAGGGAAGAAGGGGGGAGGGGAGAGGGGAGGAGAGAGAGGAGAGAGAGAAGGACTGAGGGGGAGGAGAGAGGGGGAGAGAGAGAGAGAAGGAGAGAGATGTCTCACTGACACCACACTGCTGGTCGCACAGGAGCTCGGCCCGGACCCCCAGGCCCAGGAGTCGGGGCGGATGCCGGCACGTTCTGTCAGGAACAAGAACAACAGAGACCGAAAGAACACAGAGGGAAATAAGCAGAAAACTCCAGGGAGCGCACACACCCTTGTCGGCTGCACCTGCTCTCGACCGCAGGGACCGAGGGGACCGAGGAGCTCACGACAGCCGGCAGAAGGACCCACGGACAAGAGCAGAGGCAGGGACGGAAGCAGGGGCCTCGACAGTCCACACGCTGCAAAACCAGCCCCCACACAGTTCAGAGTCGACCACGCTTTCGCATCGTCCTTTCACGACCCGTCGCGTTTGGTAGGCAGAGAGCTTTGCTCATTTTAGCACAAATACTTAAGTCAAATACAAGCATATACTCATTTGCATAGCAAATTTTAAGGGGTGCACTGAAATAGTACCCGACTGATAATGGTATACATATTTTTACAATCAGAGTGACATTCAAATTGACCAAGTAAAACATTTTCCGTTTGAAAACAGTTACCTATAAAAGTTTTTGGGATCGGAATTAAAAACAAGGCATGAGCTGTCGGCAGAACATCACAGGCATCCCCGCTGTCTTCTCGGGGCAGAGGTCACTCCTCGATGACCTCCAGGACTTTGTAAACACTGTTCTGGAACACCGTGGTGAAGTGCGGCTCAGACTCCTTCACCAGGAGGGTGCACAGCGGGGGCTTGCCGGCGTTCGCGGGGTCCTCCACGTCCCAGATCTCGGGCATGCTGCAGCCGGGCCTGGGGAGGGGCACGCCGGTCAGGGGCCCAGTGCGGTGGGCCCGCCCTCCGTTCCCACCCCCCCTCGTTTTCTCCTGCCCAGCTTAAAAACATCGTATCACAGCTGTTCCTATTTGTGTGAGCTGCCACTAAGTCCTCCTCAGAACAAGGTGAACGCAGCAAAGGTGACTCTGAAGAAAGAAAATGACCTGCGAACTACAGGTGATGTGCTTAAGTCCTGCCTCAGCTCCGGCCCAAACCGTGAACGTGTCCAGTTACTCGGCCTCGCCGCCCCCCCGGAGCTGTAACAGGGGAAGCTCCCCCAGCGCAGCTGTGCTGTGCGGACTGAGAGGGGAGGCTATTCCCAGCACCAGGCTCAGCACAGAGTGAGGGGTAATGTGTTACATTAATTTTAAAAATCATAATCGGCAAATACACTTAGTTCCCGTCCATGCAACTTCCCGTTAACTGTATTCCGGAATGAGTCAACCTCAAGAAAATCCAGTCGTGTTAAGCTCTCATCTTAACTAAACACATAATTAAATCTTGAAAGCAATGTATTTGTTTAAAGAATAGTAGAAGTAAAATTTGTATTGGTGCGATATTGGTCCCAGTAAGTTCTTCTAGATAACTAACATTCATTTTAAATTTAGAACTGTTGCTTTGGCTAGGGTTCACAATTTCTTTTCCTTTCTTTTTTAATAGATGGAGAATTTGTATGTTATACTTCAAACTGTCAGTCTCTTCTTTCAGAGCTTATGATTTTTATGTCTTCTTTAAAGAATTCTTCCCTATCACAATATTGTGAAAATATGCACTGTACATTCTCTGTGAAAGTTTCAGAATTTTGTTTCTCACATTTATAGCTATTTCTCAACTAGAATTAAATTCTTCAGTGTGGTGTAAGGTAAAGATTTAATTTTAAATTTTTCCAGATATTATAGATAGTCTAAGTAGCTCTTGGTCCAATTATTATTTATCAAATCCATTTTTAAACTCCCTCACCAGTGACACATTATCTTCAAGCCCATTTTGCCTGATCGCCTATGACCACTCATGTAACAACGGACTCAGGGGAGGACAAAAACGACGCAGAAAGTGCCTGCTGAAAGGCTGCTGAGAAAGAGGGTAAACCGATGGCCTCTCAGGGTCCCTCCACAGGTTTCTCATTAATGACAAAGGAAGCCCCTCTCCTTAGCTGGAGAGCGGGGCGGGGGGCCACGGCCAGCACCTCCGACAAGCGCTCGACCCCAGCACCCCTAATACCAGACAGAGTGGCATGCCCCCTGCAGAGCCGCCCGGCAGGCGCACCCGCCTTCCCGCCCTCACCCGCCGCCCCGCCTGCAGTCACGAGGAGCGAGCCAGGTGAACCGAATCCGCCCAGGGGACGTGCTCACACGACCACCGGCCTGGACTCTCCTGATTGTCAATAAAGACAGAAAGACACAAGGAGCAATTACTGACCAGTGACAACTTCCTACGTCCCGCCACAGCGGCATCACTCTCCTTGTAAGAGAAGCAGCTGTTCCCGCCGGCCCCTCCTGTCCCCAGTGGCAGCCCCCCTGCCCGGCCCCCCAGCAGGAGGCGGCACCAGTCTTGAACGGAGAGGTGGAAAAGTGTCCAAAGAGACCCGTCAGCATGAAACCCCGACCCGCACCGCTCGGCCTTTGCCGTCTGCGTTCACGCGCGCACACGCGCACGGGCAGAGACTTTCACGTCTACACGGATGCTCCCGCTGCTCTTACAAAGACGGGATCATCCTGGGACCCCGCGCTGGCCGATAAAACGTGGCCATTTTCCATCTCATTCCACGAAGACCCACTTTCTTCTTGACTGTTGCTTGTACTCCCATATACGGTGTGGCAGTCTTCAACCACTCCTCCTGGGACGGGTGTTGTAACTGTCCCCCGTGTTACTGCCACAGAGCACACTTACACAAACATCTCCGGGCCTCTCTCTCCACAAGCTAGGAACCATCCAGAAGCGGAACCATCGCTACAACAGGGGGCTAGGCGCTTCTCATGCTGCCGGCAGGAGCCTGTCTCCGCAAACGGTCTCCCCATGGGTGTCCCATGCAGGGTGCCCGGTGCACGTTTTTGCACGCCCTGGCTGACACGGAGCACACGTGACAACAGGACGGGGCTCGGGTCGTCCACCTTCTGATTTCTCCCCCGCCCCAAGGCCACGCTGTTCCCACACTGCCGGCCAGGGGCCGCAGAGCACGAAACGCATGGGAAGCGGCGAACCACCCCGCTCCCGCGTTCCGCCGCTCTGCCCGCCCGAGTGCGACATTCCTCATCCCGATCGGAGTTCCCCAAGGTTCCGCAAACCAGCCAGCTACACCTTCACACGGCCTTAGTGACAACCTGAATAATTTCTTCTGAGTTCATGCCCTTGGATCTCATCTCAACTCTGTTACTGGGATTAATGAGAAAGAAAGCAGAGAATGGAGAACAAAGGAATAGTTAACTCACAGCTCATCGACAGCTTGTACTGGAGTGTCTTTTCGTGCGTGTATTTAAACACAGGGTGTCAAGTATTTAAGGAATAATCATGCCACACGATCAAGCCACTTGGAAATGAGACCACTGAGTCGAGGTCTCACCGGAGTGCCAGGCACGGCTGAACCCTGGGTCAGCTTTGCTCCTGCTTCCCTTTCTTCTCCTGCGTGAGGTCCCCTCCTGCTCCCCGGTTCTGACATATCCTCCTGTCTCAGTGGCACGCCGGTGTCTCAGCTGGCGTAACTGAAGTGCGGGTGAGGGCCAGGGCACGGGGGGTGGGGGGCACTTTGTGAGAAACCCTGCTCCCCCCACTACAAAGGCAGGCACTAAGCGCTGTCCCCCATCCCCGTCCTGCTCTCCGAGTCCCCACCGGCTTCCCCAGCAGAACGGAGGGCGCAGTGCGTGCTGTGTGTCGAGGACCAGGCACAGTCCCCCGCCTGAGGTTTCCAGGATTTACCGTCAGTCTGGCTTAAATCCTGCAGCAGACGGAGAGTGCTGTGGAGACCGAGTGGGTGACAGAGAAGAGAGGTCCCTTCCTTCGCTGCCCTCCTCCCCGCTCCTGCTGGAACCAGCAGACAAGGGCAAACCGAGGCCCTGATGGGGATCCCTGGGGGATCCAGCACGCCCCACCCCCGGCTCAGACGCCAGGCGGGCCGTGAGCTCTAGGTGGGTGTGCTCTGACGCCGGCTCACTCACGACCGACTTTGACTAGGGTGCCCGTGACCCGCCGCACCTCTTGAAATTGTCCCTTCATCCCTCCTGGGTGCAGAGGGCAGCGCTCCGCCATCAGAACAGGAAACTACGGGACAGGCAAATCCTGGGCCCTGCCTCCACATCTCAGAACATGAACCCCCCCAGCCCCTGCGATTCCCACAGATTCAGAACGCTAGGCAAGGGCCCAGGGGACAAAGGAAGAATCTTGAACAAAGGCTCGTCACTAGCTTGGGGGGAAAGGTCACGAAACACGTTTCTGCTCCAGAGACTGACAGGCGTCTCAGGCTGGCAGAGCGGCAGTGCGGAGAGGGCCAGGCGGCCAGGCAGTGCCCACCGCGTGGGGATCGAGCGCGTCCGACGGCGGCGTCCGCCCACCGCTCAACGTCCTCAGAAGATCGCCACGGGGGAGCTCACGACTGCCCTGCGCTAAGTCTACACGGCCAGGTTACCTGAAGGTGAACGTGTGAGTTTCACGTACATTCTCACGTTCAGAAGGACTCAGGGCACGCTCTGAGCCGTGACTCTAACAGCAGTGATATTTCCTATAGATCCCGATTCAGTTCAAGTCACTTGCGACATTCACAGAACACCAACAATCCACGACTGTCTCCGTTTCCTCGTGGGCAGTGCTGGCAGACAGACTGTCACAGGACTATTTTTACTCCCGAGGGAACGTTTAATTATTCCGTCTCAGCACCCTCGCGTGAGACTGAAATGCGCGGTGAGTAAGTGTGATGAAGCCACAGACACGGCAGCCTCCTGAAGGCTTCTCTTCAACGAGGAGTGGGAATTAATCAAGTAACAGCGCTCTGTAAAACGCCCCTGACTTCTGGCGAAACCGTGCGTGTCTGCGTCTCCCCGGAGCAGGTGCTCTGGTGTCTCAACAGCCAGCTCCTGCCGCCCGTCCCCCGGCGCACCACGGCCGCCAACTGAGGGGCTCACGTCGGCTTTGAGACGCTCGCCAACTCCGGCTGCCCCCCTCTGCCCACTGAACGCCTCTGTGTGAACAGACCTTTTGAAAACCGTGAGCCCAAGAGCACACGGGTCTGTGAAATGGTTCCCCCACCCAAGTAGGAGGTGAAGCAGCAAGAGACGCCTCAGTCTGGCTGCGTCCGTCCGCCACGGGACGCCACGGGACGCCACGGGACGCGGCGCGGCGCAGGGCTGGGGGCGAAGGAGGCCTGACCCTCCGCGCCCGACTGACGCCGCTACCACGAGAGTCTCCACTACTCGGGCTCAGCCTCTACACGCCTTTTGAAAGAAAGTACATTCGGCTTGAAGTAAAAGATTCAAAAAACAGGCGAAAGTGAATAATTCAGGAAATTACCCATCACTGCCTATATAATACCCTTAAGAAAAGTGCACACATGCCAATCATTACAAAGAGATGCTCACGATGACTACGAGAGAAAAAAACTCCAATTCAAGCGATCACCTAGAGTTCTTTCCCACTACGCTTTGCTAGACGCGGTCTACGCCTCACGCACGGCCTCGCAGCGCAGCCCCGAGACCGGGCCGCTCCCCGGGCTCCCCGGGCGACTACTCACTTGGACCTGCGCACGCACCAGGACTCCTCCAGGATGTAGTAGTTCACCTGCAGCTTCACCAGCTCCCGCTTCACTTCCTCGGCTGCCTTCCGGCTGTACATGGAGTACACGATCTTCGTTCTGGCTCTTGGGAGGGAAACAGCCGGGGAGAAGACCGGCGAGGTTAGGAGGCTGCAGGCCTCCTGTTTGGGGAGGCTCTGAACGGGGCCGGGAGACAGACGACACGGAAGACTCCGGGGGTCGGGACACACTGCAGGGGAGTCCTCGGGGCGTCAGGGAGGGGGCCTCGGGAAAGGGCGGAAGTGGCCCCCAAGTCCTGGGAGGAGGGGCTGCCACACTCAGGCGTTCTGTCTGTCCGCTTGCTTTTGTCCTAAACTCTCTACGGACCGCTCTGTCACAAACACGAGCCAGGTTTCCTGTGTGTGGGCGCGTCTTTAAAGCCGCGAGGGTCCCAACCTTCACCCCAAGAACCACCAGCAGTCGCTGGCTCTCCACTTCACTCCCGGGCTTTCCGAAAGCTGAGTTCACTCAGAATAGCTGCTCTGGAAGTCAGCCTGCCAGGACTGTTTTACTGAAAAACTTTCTACTTATACATAGTTATGTCCTGCTGTTAGTCAAAGGAACATATTAATAGGATTCACCTTTTCAGGAAATTAATAATCTGACCTACCTTAGAAGTTACACAAAAATGAAATCTATTTCCTTTAGAAGAGAATGTATTTTATGCGTTTATGAAAAAATAGTGAAAAAACCTCCCATCATTCTAACAGGTTAAACTGGTGAGAACCAGAATAAACCCCTCTTTGAATGCGATTGCATTTTCAGCTGACTCCTGAGAATCCAAGGAAAACGCCCGTGAGAAACCTCAACAGAAACGTCAGGCTGATGAACCCTCGGGGCAGCCTCAGGACGACGACGACGAAGACGCTGCACGCTCCGGGGCCTTGCCGACCCACTCAAGACTGATCCGCTGGGACGCCTTCTGCTGCCTGGTCAACCAGATGACCCCAAGGTGGCAGCTGGGTCGCCCCTGGGGCTGGAGCAGTCTTGGGTGTGACTTGGCACTTTACCTCGGCATTCCTCCCCCAGCTCCACCAATCCCAGCTCACCGCCATTCCCTTCCTTAAACCCTTCTTGGCACCTGCTGAACAGCGTGAGCATTCTGTACTAACCTCAGACCCGCATCTTCATAATGTGGGTGATTCACCACGGGCCGAAGTGCGGAGAGTTTCACACTCGCCATGGTGGGCATGGCCCCCGCAAACACTGCGTCTGCGGAGCAGGAAGCGAGGGTCAGCGAGAACCGGGAGGGAGTCGGGGCGGGCACAGGGCCGGGCAACTCCCGAGCCCGGGTGAGCGTTTTCTTCGGGCGACAGTCTCATCCCACTGCTGAGAGTTTGTGTGTGTGTGTGTGTGTGCATGTGTGTAACATCGTGGGGATCTTTCCTGATTCTAGGCAAGTATGAAACGAACCAATTTTTATAACACTAAAAAACCCTGTAGATGATTTAACAGTCATTCCATACTCAAATGACAACACCTCCCTTCTTAAATGTGAACAAAGATTAAAGATTCCATGAGTTCGCTTCAAGGAGGAATTTGAAGGGCTAAGAGTAAAAATTCATTAGGAAAATAAGCATTAAAATTATTTTAAACTGTGGCATGTAAAACTTTGAAAAAATCAGAATTTATGGAAAATAGCAAAACTAATTAGGAAGAAGCTGTGCACAGCATTTCCTTTGCAAACCATGGAAGTAAATAACAATGGCATTTCTCCCTCTTTCTGGAGACTCTGGAAGCAGCACTGATCAGAAAGACTGTTGGCAGTTACTCGGGTTTAGGATTTAACAGTGGTATGCAAAACTCGGGAAAAACACTCCTAAAAATAATATTTTTTTTACCTGGTTTAGTACTATATTTGATCCACTCTATAAGTTCTTCTTGTGGCAAATTGCTGAATTCTCCTACAATATTCCATTGGGTTTGTAGGTTTGCTGAACCTTGTATCGACATCGCTGCTAACAGAGCAAAAACAACAGCACCAGGATGTACTTTGCAAAAGAGCCATCCAAACAGCTGAAACCAAGTCAGAAACACATTGGTGATTGTTAGTAGAAAGCAACAAGTATCCAAAAAGCAACGGTTCTTCCCAGAGGACAAAGCAGCCTCTGCTAGAGTCCTGGATAAGCCTTAATCACCCTAGGGAAAGTTCCAGAAGCAATGACCCTAGCAATCAAAAGACCCCACCACCAGCCCTGCACGAGTGGGCCACGGTTTAAACCGCGTTCAAGTCGAGCTCTTCTCTCAACTCGCTCTCTCTATTCCCAGAGCCAGGCAAGGCCGGGCTCACTGCAAAATGACAATGTGGGGCCCTTGTTGGAAGATTACTAAAAAGACCCAAACGGCAACAACAGAGCACAAAGCCAGGTGCGGGTGCTTCTCCGTGTGGGCGCCCTGCATGCTGGCCTCCAGCGCTGCGAGGCCAGCCCGGCATCTGTGGTCATCGCTCACACTGCTGGTGGGACTGAAGGGACAAGCGTCCAAGCAGCCTCCCTTCCTGTCCCGGCCTGGAGGAGCCAGGCACTGCGGCCTCACCCTCCCTCAGCCTCTCCAGCTTGACCACAAGCCGCCTGGGAACCTTGGGGCTGGCTACTCTTTTCCATATGCAAATAGTCCCCTCTCAACAACAACACTCTGTCTCTATTGTTCTCTCCTGAGGACTACTTCCTGAGGACACACACAGACACTTCTCCTTTTGGACTTCTGCACCCACCACTGCACCCTCATCCCCAGCTGGCGGTTCGGATGATTAGTAACTAATGCTAATTTGGCCATGGTGCCTTCTGTCCCTGACTGATGAAAAGGTGAGCCCGTGGAGGGTGGAAGTCCTACGCCTGTGACTGCAGAGCCAGGAGGCAGGTACCTGGGGAGAGTTGGCAGCGAGCAGCCATGTGGCTGCAGCTCCGTTTGAGGGTAAAGCCTCGACACTGAGCAAACTGTGCATTTGTATGCACACGTACACTCAATGAAAAGAATTAAAGCTTAATACTGAAAGCCCATATAATTTGAAAGTACTTATAACTTGAACTCAATTGTTGGAATTCTTTGTGAGATGAATGTCAAAACAAAAAATTATTTCTACAATTAGTCTCCGCTTTCCATCAACATCTGCAGTAATCACTCGCGAATTCACGAGGCTGATGGTCTGTTGTTAGGCAGGGACTGTTTCAGAAGTTAGAAGAATAGAAAATGATCAGCTCTCAGGGGGTTTTGTGGGCTTTTCAAAAACATCGCTCAGGAACGATTAGCACAGACCCAGAAAGGACTTTGCTGGCAATCATCTAAAGAGCCCCAGGGACTCCAACACGCTTCCGGGCCCCTGAGCACCGAGGCTGCGACCGCGCCCAGCAGCCACAAGGCCCGCGCAGCCGCCGCCGCCTCACCTGCCTCGAGCAGACCAGCGACGCCATCACGCACATGTGCGGCGTCAGGAAGAGCTTCAGCCGCATGATGAGGACGCCCAGCGCCGTGTACGCCACCAGCTGCAAGGCGTGATAGACCAGCTGAAAGAGAAGGGAGACCGCTCTGACGCCTGCTGTCCGTGAAGTTCAAGACTATACCGTTAAAATGGCGGATATACAGAAAAGGGCACTTTTCCTTAGTAACAACACTTTAATTTCAGGTATAAACAAGTCTTGAAATCCACTTTCCAGCGTCTCCACTTGAGTAGAGAGCTAAGCTTGTACAATTGCTAAGGCCAGTGGGTCTGCAGCCCTGCTCAGGACCACGCCTGCAGTCGGGGAGCCCCCACTTCTGCACCCCCTGGGTGCGCCCACCGGCACAGAGGGGACACGGGAACCACAAGTGACTGCTGTCAGTTCCAGACCCCAGAGTCCCGCCCCGCCTTGGAACAGCCACCGGAACCCGGCTGAAATACACGGCACAGTATCGTCCACTACGGTCAGCGTGCTTCTGCGGAGAGAGCAGGCCTCAGAAGGCCTCATCAGAAGGAAAAATAGTAACCTGTGTAACTAAGTATGGTGACAGATGTTAACTAGACTAATTGTGCTCATCACTTCACAGTGCACACACATCCGAATCATTGTGTTGTATACATGAAACTACATATAATATAACGTGATATGTCAATCATACTTCAATTTGAACAGAGAAAGAAAAAATAAAAAAACCACCCGGCCAAATCCCTGGAGATGGGAGGAGCTCACATCCCTGGAGCCCTAGGCTGGGGAGCGGAGAGGAAAGTGTCTCCAGTCACTCAAAGGACACCCCCTGGTGTCCCTGGGGGTTCCAGCCACAACCTGCTAGGGCCGCGAGGACGGTCTCAGGGACTGGAGGACAGATGTGTCTGTGACATCCTCCCACGAGCACACGCAGGCCGACTGGGGAGATGATCAGTGCCAGTCACTAACAAGCACAGAGGCCAGAACTAGGAAGGAAAGTCCCGACACACACGTGAACACTAGAATGCGGTGCATGTTAGTAACACTGGGTCTTTACCTCTCCGTGGTCGAACTGGTGTTTCCTGAAATGGAAAAGAAATACAAAGTAACTGTGGAGGCACTTACTTCCGTTATCTGCATTTGTATCTTACAAACATGAGGTCTGACAACTTGTGTAAGATTCCCGCAGGGCACATGTATGTAAATCAAAGTAACTACAAAAGCTACAAACCGAAACCCAGGCTACACTTTTTTGAGTTTTCGGGGGGAACACGACGACGCTGCAGGTCTGCAGATCTGGCTGCACGCTGCGGCGTGTCAGCCACCTCCTGGTGACCCCCGGGCAGGGGACACGGAGGAGGACCTCCGAGCCCCCCCATGAACAGGAAGGCACAGCGGAGAGGTTTCTCTGCGGCGTCTCTGGAACACACAAACAGCCTCTAAATCCCTCCTTCCACTCTGCTGGACAGTCTCAACTTCCCGAGCAGACGTGTGCTCAGAGCCCGCCCCGCCCCCACTCTGTGCCGGGCCCCACGGGTTCGCATCACAGCGGGGTGCCCTCCGATCTTTCACACGTCACCCACGGTCTTCCCACGCTGGTCCCCACTGCTCATCTCTGAGGCTCCGAGAGGCCTCGCCAACCCCGCCCCCCGCCAGCAGCAAGTTTCCTTCCAGCCTCCAAGAGGTGCCCGACTCCGGTGGTCAGCGCCCCTCCTCCATCCATTCCCCTCCCCCTCCCTGGTTCGCCTCCTCTCAGAGAACACTTCCACTGGTTTCCCTGACCACCCACCATCTGACTCTCCCCAGTAAGACGCAGCCTTCGGGGCCCCAGGGCTAAAACCTGCCCGACTCAGGCCCATGATGCACCTACGGCGCTGGGCACACAGCAGGAACAGGAGGGAGGGCGCCTCTGCCCTCGCACGGACGTCGACGGGGAGGACGAGCAAACAAAGAGGCTCCTGGACCCCACATCTGGTCACGAAACCGTCTCCCACTGTCCCCTTCCCTTTGCGCACGGCACATGACTCCGGCACTCAGGCAAAATGAAATGTCACCGCACCTGTCTCCAGCCAAGAAAGCCCCGGCCCTCCCTGCAGGGAGGCCCCATCAAGCTCCGTGGTGGTTCACAGTTACTGCCACCGCTGAGTCGCGCTGAAGGGAGCTCCGTTTCCAAGAACAGTCCCACCTTCCTCCCCGAGCTGCAGATCACAGCTGCAACTCCGTGCAACTCTGCAGTCGGTGCGAGCCTGCCGGCTCTTCAGCAACAGTGTCAGCCCGGGGAAGGGGCAGCTCGGCGTGACGTCCAGGGTCACGTCCAAGGTCACGTCCTTTCCCCGGCCCCCAAAGGCTCCTCGTACCAGCGAGGGCACGGCTGCAGCGCACTGCCCGTAAATGACACCGAGGACGGTCTCGGGGGCACGTGCAGCGGTCTACCGCTCGTCGGCACAAGTTTGTAGGTGAGAGAACGCTATGTAAGCCGTGTGTGTTCAAGTTATAAAAGGAAATACGACACTTTCACCGATCATTCTCTAGACCCCACAAAGTCCGACAGAAGCCGGGAAGCAGAACTGAAACTTCCTCTCCCCCACCTCCAATCCCACGCCCTTCCTCATTACAGGTCTCCTCCTTCCAGGTCCTTCCCACGCACCAGGAAACGCACCATCTTCCTCCTTCAGCGAAAGCGCACTCCAGATTAACGGGAGGAATCAACGGTGCCGACGGAAACACCCCCACGCGGAAGGCCCACACCCCAGAGACAAGGGCCTGCTCAGGGATGAAGATGGTCAGGGAAGGCTTCCTGAGGGAGGGGACATTCGGGCAAGGATTGGAGGAGGCAGCCGTGCAAGAGCCAGGCTGCAGGCCAGGCGGGGCACAGCCCCGGGGCTGGGGCTAGGACTCCCGTGGAACTGCAGAGGCAGGAAACTCCCGCTGTGTGTGGGCCGGGGGCTCGGGGGGCGGGCAGCAGTGCAGCAGGAACGGGAAAGAAGGGTTTGATTTCCGCTCAGTGGCTGTTTCTGTCCTTCACTCATTGTCCTAACAGGGTTTTAGTATTAACAGAAGCTCTTTATATGGGACGATCATTAGCCCGTTTTCATAGAATACAAACATTTTCCCCGATTTGTATTTTTCTTTGAACAGTACGTACAGTGTCTTACCAAACCAAAGTATGAATCTGGTCAACCTTGTCATTTTTCCTTCTAGCTAACAGGTTTTCTGTCGTACTTAACAAGGCCTCTCTAACCCTAAGATTATAAAAATAATCTCGGGCAATTTTGAGGGTTCCTTTTTCCCTGTATTTAGATCTGCGCTCCATCTGGAATTTACATCGCCTGAAAAGGGAGGGGTGGGCCCGGTTTCACAGGCCCTGCGCCTGTGACTCTGCCACCACCAGGGCCTTCCCTCTCCCTGCGGAGCTGAGGCCCGGCGCGGTCCTGCGGAGGCAGGTGGTGCGCGTGCACGGCCGCTGCGTACGGGGCCGCCCGGGGCCTGCGGCGTGACCGGGGGATGTGCCGAGCTCGGCGTGGGTGGGAAGTGAGAGCGGCACAGACGGGGACGCCGACGGTGGAAAACGCCGACTGGCAAAGGTCGAGCGGACAGCGCGCCACCGTGCGCTGAACGCACTCTGAACGTCTGCTTTGTCACAGATGGAGGGAGTAGCAAAATGTTAACACTTACCTTGCATGTGTCTGCTGCTTCACTAAGACACCCCACATGTCACTAACAATCTGCAAACAGAGTTTTTAGAACACTTTAGAACAGCTGTTTTGGGAAAAGCAGAATTTCAATTAAAGTGTCTTCTAAACTTTCAAACTTCTACTTAAGTGTAAGTACAGAGACAAGACATGGCTCAGAAAGCAATGACGACGACAACACGATCTTACACGTGAACAGAACTCGCGCAAACCTAACACCCAACGACCCTGTTCAGGCGCAGTCGCCGCCCGTCCTTGGTCAGTGAGCGACAGGCTCCGAGGGAGTCAACGACCCCCACCCAGGAAGGCGGCGAAGCCCCGCTGGGTCTGTGAACCCGGCCTTCAGCCCCCGGTCCACACCCGGAGATTCCCACCACCCAGGGCGTGCGCCAGGCCTGCCCTTAACCGCGGCCCCACAGGACCGGGGGGACCGTGGTCACAGACGGAGAAGCACGACCGTGAGTCACTGAGTTCCCCTGGTTAGCAGTGACCGGGAGGCCACCTGATCCGAGAGCCCCTCCCCGGTGCGATGTCCTCCGCCTGCTGACGGGTGTGAGTCCAGCTCCTGGAAGAAGCCCCCGCCCGGCCACTGCCTGACCCTGTGACACCTTCCGGATCAGGCCGGATCGATGCCGGTCAAAGGTCTTACTGCCAGGAACTGGCCCGAGTTCTCAGGAGCCAAAATGAATGAACCTTATTTCTACGCGGCAGGCTTTTAGCTGTGTGAAAACAATGATCCTCTTTCCGTTCAAATGTTTCTTCTTCAGTCAGACACCCCACCTCTTGAACCCGATCTGATGGTCTTTGTCACCGAGCCACCCAGACGGCTGTCTTGTAACGCATCTGGATCGCCCACATGCCGTGTTTTTTATTTCTTGCCGGGTGCAGACCCACACGAGGTGTGCCCAAGTGCCAAGGACCCAGAGCGCCTGGCACGGGGCGGAAACTGATGAACCCAAGTGGATGTGAGGGGCACGAGACCCCACAGCTCGAGGCTACACGCTGCCCGTGAGCAGGGAGGGTTCTCAGTCAGTGGACACGTCATGAGGCCGCTGACCACCCCTTGATCTTCCCACTCTGCACCTGTCAGAACAGGGGTAACGGTGTCTATGCACCTCACGGGGCTGTCGACCAACCAACTGAAACGGCACATGTGAAATGACTTTCGGAAGCACAAATTACCAACTGAACAATAATTACAGTAGTGAACAGTCTACAAGTATACGGCACTGCCTAAAACAGAAATCCTGGCTACAAACCAGAAAACTCTCAGGGTCTGTTATCTGCTTTTCTATTACAGATTTATCTCAGCTCATTCTCTCAAACTACCTACAGCTAAGCTCACCAGTTCTTAAAGGACAAAGGAGAGATCATCACACCCCTCTTCGGTAAAGACAGCAGCTTCCCCGCCCAGGTCTCCGTCTGGGCTTCGGGTTTCATCATCGTCAAAGCCAGGCCGGCAGTCTACGCATTTTACTGAGTTCACAAGACACAGATAACATCCTCCTTGTCTGTTTTGATTGATGATAACTTGGACCCAGGAGTTAGCGAACACCACACACACGACTCGGAAAGGCCCCCATTCAAGAGTTCAGGGGAACGTACAGGCAAGTTAAAAGCAAACCGGTGATAACTCGGAGGCAAGAACAACTGCGTCTGGGCCCACAGGGCCCCTCTGACCCTGACTCTCAAACACAGGCCGGTCACGGCAGCAGGCCAGCCTCCCCCCTCCCCACAGCTGTGCTACGTGGGCAGACGGCAGAGCCTTTTTAAGGCGTGTCCGTGCCCGTCAGAGGCCAGAGCAGGTTTCCACGCACCCACACAGGGTGCTGTCGGGTGCACACGGAGCCCCGCGCGCTGACGGCTGCGCAGACGCGGGAAAACGTGTTTTTGCAGGGAAAAGCTCCTCTCTCGGGAGACACATACCTTTCTGACGATGGTGATGAACACGACGAGAACAACTGGAAGCAGCAAAGTCTTCGTGTACCGCAGGGGGGTCTGCAAGGAGACCTTTGTCAGAGGAGTGCCGTTCTGAACAGACAACACTTCACCCCGAGTAATGAACCCAGAGAATCGCACCAGGAGCTCCACTCAGCGAGGGCCCACCCCGACCCCAGACTCCCATCAGAAGAGTGGAAGTGCCCTTCCACAGGAACAAACGTACCCAGAACGTCGAGCTGAAAACACTCACACACACAGTCCCCAAACACATGTAAGCGTGAAATGCGACTAGAGATTACGGTTCGCCTCCTGGCAACTGCTTCCGTACCTAGGGGCTCACCTCCCTACTCCCTACGTCAGCAGACTCCCGGGAAAGGCTGGAGCTTTCCCTGCAGACCCTGGGGGGGCCGAACGTCTTGGCCACGGCCCCTCGGCACACACGCAGTGACCAGTGTTTGCACAAGGAATAACTCTTCAGCATTCTCTTTAGTAACAGTTCAACAAAACTACACTAACCAAAACCGTACACGGCAAAGCCCTGTACAGTGCAATCCTACACACCTCGCGATGATGAGGTCACGGTCTTAAGCAATCTGAACTTGGAACTTCTCCACTGCAGCTGATTTGCTTGCCACCGCTTCCCCCGACAAAACAATCCCTTATCACTGAGTCAAATAACATGCACTTTCCCTGACATGTTCATAAAAAGAAACCTAGTTTCAACTATATTAAAATACTGGTACATTTTAATTGTACAAAATACAGAGTAAGTAGAATTTTATGATTTTCCCTCTCAACAGTCCAATTTCTCTCATTTATTAGTCTGTACTAGATGGGTAATTTATTACACAAAAATGCATACTTCATGAGTTAGAAGTCCTACTAAGAGAATTTAAATGTTCTTATCTTACTATTTACCTTTACAAACATTTTCATAGTATGCTATTTTTATATATATATATTTATTTTGTAAATTTTTAATTATGTCTCAACCTAAGCAAAAATCATAACTGAAACTATCTTAATATTTTAAAAATTAGGTATTTTCTAATAACTAATAAATACAACAAAAGTTGTAAGATGTGTGTTTACCTTAAAAAGGTAATAAATATATCATAATTGTGTTAGCATTTAACAAAATTTAACAAAGTGTTAAAAAAAATTTAATGTTATATTCCAAAAGCTTAAAAGGTATTTAAAAATATTTCTCTGTCAAGGAAAATCAGATTAGCACCAGACTTTGACAGAAATGCTCCTGAGCAGAAGACAATGTACTAACTTATTCAAGAAACTCAGGACAAGATACAGACCGCAGACCTGCATCTCGCCAACAGCGCCACAGAGAAAACACCGATGAAACCCTTTGAACATGCCAACACTCAGGACTCTGCTCCCAGGACCCCTTCCCGAGGGGTCCAAGACGAGGCAGGAGGGGCTTCCCGGAGGCCTTCACCCCACTGGCCGACCCAGCTGCAGCAGCGACGGGGACACAGAGGCGGCAGAACGAACAGTGCGCGCAGTGAGTGACGCGTTCTCGCCATGAAGACAGTGGGGCGCACTGCTGCCCACTGCTCTGCGCCCCGGGACTCGGGCTGACCCAGCCGGAGTCGGAGGGGGAAATGAAAGTGGCAACAGAGCACTGCTGGCCAGTTTAACGCACAGCACAGAATTCGGAAGAACCGCGTCTCACAGACAATAAAACATCACAGTGCACGAGGCCACAGCGTGGGGTACAAAGACCCACGTGTCCTGCTGTGGAACCAAACCAGCGCCCAGAGAGCTGCGGCATCACATTTCCCAGAGACACCGGAACAGCCAAGGACCTTCCCTTGCACCTCGCTCAATCTGCGCCGGCCCGGCCTGCGGGCAGCACCCCACCAGAAACGCGGGGCTCAGACGCGAAGGGTGGGAGTCCCAGCTCGAGAACAGTCGGTGGCACCGCAGGCCTGTCTCCCAACCCACCGAGCTGCGCTGAACACGGCTTCCTTCTAGACGTCTGAATGCAGTTTTCAAAGAAAAATGCTGCTGGAACGAGCAACTCGCACTCGGCCTTATTTCAGGGCAGTGAGGCCATCAGACACAGCGCTGCCAAGTGAGTGGGGACGTAAGAGCCTGCGCTTCACCGAACTAACGCCGCGCCCACGGAGAGGCCGCCTGAGATGCCTCTGTGCTCGCTCGTCCAACAACCCGCTGGTCGGAACGCGCGCTTCTCAATTCCTCAGGTGAGGAAGGACCACGCAGACCCGGGAGCAGTGCCAACGGGAACAGGAAGAGCTTCCCCTCGGCCACCACATGTGTCTCCTCCTTCAGACCGAGGTGACAGCACAGAGGACAGAGTCTGAACAGCGGGGACAGCCTTTCGGACAAGTGAATGGACCAAAACCTAAGGGGAAAACCGGAAACCGTACCTACCTCCTTTTCCATGAAGTCAAACTCTGCTGCACAAGTATACAACAAGGTATCAAAGTCCTTGTAACTGAAGAATTTTGACGTTAGTAAGTTGCCAATGTGAGCCTAGTAAGGAATAAAACGAGGTACCCTTAGATTATGCCGTAGAGTATAGTAATGCATTTTAATCGTAACAGTACCCAAAAATAGCCCTCACTACATTACAGAGCTCTCTGTTCCCACCCAGCGAGCTTCCGCTAAGCAGGAAGGCGCCGCACCCTCCAACTCCACAGCTCTCTCTCTTCTGCTGACAAATGAGGGCGCCAACACCACCCTGCTGCCAAGGTGGGTCATCGACAAACCCAAGTCTTTTCTCCTCGTCTCGTCCCTGCTCAGCGTGCCCGCCCTGGGGCAACACACTGGCGTCTCCTCTGCGGGAGCCCACCGGGACGGGTGGGCCTGGTGGCACAGGCCCTCCCGTCACTCACAAAAGGACCAAGTGTGACAGAGAAAGGAGACACTAATTCAGGTTTCTGGAAAGGGGACTGAAGACCCTTTGCAAGCAGCAGCACATGCACAGGCCTGGGGAGGGCACACACTTCCCACCGCCAGCCGAACCCTGGGTCACCTCGACATGTCACCAGGTGCGCGCGCTCACACCAGTCATCTGCTCCCCACAGAAAGCCACGTGAGGAACACAGACTATTTTCATTCACAAATGAGACATTTGCCAAACTTTCCATTCATTGTTGTCTAAAAAGGCAAGGACCGAAGACGGGCCAGGGGTGGGGCAGAATTACACCTAAAACAAACCATAACTAGAATCCCAGACGGCATCCGGATGATGGGGGTGGAGCGGGGGGACCGGGGACCGAGGTGAGGGTAGGGACTGAGGGGGGGTAGGGACGTGCTGAGGAATTTCAAAGCTCCTGCTGGAGAACAAAATGTGTGCTAATAAATGTAAGGAATCAACAGGGAGAACAGGTAGAGCCTAAAACAGCGCGAGAAAACTACCTGTCCAATGAAAAGGAGGAAAAAGTCTAAACGCAAGTAAAATGGAAACAGATAAAAAAACAGATAGACTTCATCTTGGAATTTGGGTTAAATAGGGGCATTTTAATATCACAAGTAATTTGTAGCTTGTTTGATCCTTTTCAGGTCCTTCAAGCCTAAGCAAAAATGCACTCACGTCATCTGTGATGCCGAAGAGTTTAGATGTCAAATACTTGAGAATGACAGTTCCAAATAACCAACAACACCCTTGGATAACCTGCAAGAGAAAAACGTAACGAAACAAAATAAACGGGTGCCCCTGCAGCCGTGTCACAGACACGGTCTGGGAGGGAAACGAATGCTGTAGTCGCACATCAAACAAGTCTCTCCACGTGCAAGAGAAAATGCTAAAAAAAAAAAAGGACTGCACCTTAAATTAAAATGTTACTCTAAAATCAAGGAGCTATCACTAAAATTAAAAATAAAAATGTACAATCCTATTATAAAAATTCATACACTTTATAGAAGACTTGCACAGCAACTACAGTTCAAGTCCCTTCTACCAACACTTTCTTGCACACGTACAACTCCTTAGCAAAAACATGGGTGATTAATAAAATTGAAACTCTTTACCTATCAAATATTAATCTTAACTTGCGTCGTGGAAAGGGCAATTTGCTACATTAAAATTGAGCTCTAATATGTCATAAAACTGTTAGATCCCCTGCACTGCACAGATCGTTCCCTTAAAAGTGAAACATAAAACCAACGCCACATTTTACAGAAGAAAAACGTAAGCGTTCAAATAGATTGATTCTTACCCATAAACTAAGTTCAGATACATTTATTTTCAGGAAATGTGGTTTCATTGCCAGTACGCCCTGCATGGAGAAAATAACACAGCATACCGTTAATACTTATAATGTAAGTGCCATAAAGTACTTCTAAATAGTAAGACTCTCGAGAACCTGAAATTCAGCACACTGTCGACCTTCCACACGGCACTGCCACTAGCTCACTGACTTCGAGGACAAGCCCTATTTTAACCAAAGTGGATCAGGTGAGTTAATGACTTCGTTTAGCAGAAAACGGATTCACACATTAATTTTTATGAGTGCCTTTTGTGTCTCTGATTTACCTAAGAATCATGAAGTATAAAATGAACTCAGAGTTTTAGACCAATGTCTTACAGTAACAAGATTTTTCTTAAGGTAAATATTATTAACTCTTAGGATAAACTACAAATAAGTTTTTAATGGATCAACTAAATACTTCTTTATCAATACTCATGTCTTTCCAAGTACATAATAGATTCTCAAATATCATACCTATTGGCATCTAAATCTACTTCAAACTTGGCAAATACAGTCAGAGATCAAAATGTAAATATATGAACCCAAATGAAATCTTTTCAGAAGTTTCTGAATATCTAGAAACACAGACGTGTTAAAATTAATGTCTCAAAGTGATAACTCTCAACAAAAATAGGCAAATGTTTGTTGATGTTTACACATGCAAAAACACGCTATATTCTGTAACTGCTGGCACTGTTTAGTTTTAGACAACAAACTATGTGAGACATACATAAATATGCGTAATTTATCCCTGTGACACACCTCAGTGTGAAGCACTTAGTAGGAAACCTGACACACTGTAGGTGCTCAACTCAACAAATTTCCTGTGAAATGTGCTCAGATTAGCTTCTACTGATGTACGATCTTCTGCTCTATGGCTTCCCTGGACACACAAGTCCCAAGGGTCGGGTACTTGAACCTGAGTAACAGCAGGCCTTGCTCGTGTACACGTGTAAAATAGAGACTTGAATACATTTTCACGTTTCCTGATTACAAACATAATTCACCAACTGTAAAAACTATCATTCTCCTCAAAACACAGCCACTCAGTTCATGATTTTTTTTGTCACTGTTGAAAACACAGCATTGCCACATGCTAATCGCCACCTTTTGTGACGAAGTATACTTGCGTGGCACAGCCTGAAAAGGGTGGTGCTATAGACTGAAAAGCAGCCTATCTTTGAGAAATGAGATCTAAGACAAATGTTACTTGTAAAATGAGACAAGGAAATAGGAGGTTCCAAACTTGCTAATGGGCGTTAGAAATCCCGAAAGCCAAAGTGACCTGAGTAGCTTAAATGACTAGTCAAGAAACAGAGTACATTTCCATTAAGACACTACAACAGGCTTTTGTCTCCCAGAAACCAGCCTCTACTAAGTATAGGAATAATTTCTTTCTTCAGAGAGTTATGAAATATTGTAATGGTGACGCCTATTGATTTTAAAAAAAGGCATAGCTCCTTCGGGAAGTCCTTAAATTCAGGAAAATGGGTAGTTGAGAAAGTCATCCCACCAAAGTAGCGAAGGAGTCAGGTGGCCTTTCCCGGTTTGCTCTAATTCTGTGCCAGGGGCTCCTGACCGCCTCAGCCCGCAGTGACTCAGCAAACTACAGCTGAATCACCACCTGGTTTAAACTATCTGAATGTTTCACACAAATAAACACGAGGGAAGACCCTAAAAGCAAAAGCCTCAGGCCCCGGGATCCAGGGGCATGAGGTGGAGACACTGCTGGGAGATGCCACGGGGAGGAAAGGGGACCAGGAGGGAGCAGGAATCGGGCAAAAACTGAAGAGGAGAGGACGAAAGGAAAAAGGAGCAGGCACAGAAACCTCTCTAAAATTAACCCTGGGGCCTAAACTTAGGAGGCAGAAAAGAGGAGGAGGGAGGAAGGACGGCTCGGACAGTGAGACAAGGAGCTGTGCTCTCCGACGTGACCCTCCAACGTGACCCTCCGTCGTGCTCCTTCGCCGCTCTGGGAGCGAGCACTCGAACACTGGACCACGGGCAGACGCACGCAGCAGGACCCTGAGCTGCTGCTGCTCACAGAAAACCCCTCACAGATCCCGAGCCAGTGATGACCAAACTGATAAGCCATTCATTTCAAACACAGCCATGTACTTAGAAAACACTTACCCAAATAATCACCAAAGAGGAAGCATAATAAGAAGTTAATAACATTGAGTTTCCAAACATCAAAACAAAACAAAGTGCAAGAGAAATCTGGAAAAATCCAAGAAAAATACAATTAATGCACATAAAACAAAAAAATAATTGCACATGCCCATGATAAACAAAATTCAAACTGTTCAAAAGGGAACATATATATAAAAAAAAAACAGCCCAAACCCTTCCCCACACTTCAACACCCAGGATCACCAGAACTGACACTTTCTGTGCGTCCTTCCAGGCCTTTACATGTACAGATTCAAGTTTATATTTTTTAAAGAACACGCAAATGGAAACTTAACCCATAAGCTATGCTATTTCTTGCTTTTACTCTTAATTTCTTTCAGAGAGCGCCCCTATCAATGCCGACCCACCCCACTTAAACGTAACCAGTCCTCTGACTGCTGCTGCACGCTTCCAGCTTTCCAGCATTGCTCTGTTGTTACTTCGTATTTCTCTACGCAAGCCTTGTTGTGACACACATCCCTTCTGTGCGCATCTTACACACATGCCAATACAGTGAGGGGTCAATTACTAGAAGCGAAACTGATGGATTCAAGGTACACGTTAAAATCTGAAAAGATAAACAGCCATGCAAAATACCGCATCAATCTACTCTCCCACCAACAGGGCACGGAAGTTCCTGTGAATACACGTTCCTGCGTGATTATCATCCTTTGAAATATCTGCCGATACCATATAAGAAAAATGTTGCCTCATTGTTTTGCTTTTAATAACGAGACACAGCATGTTTTCCTCTATTTGCTGCTCCCGTTGTTACTGTGCTGTGAGTGTGTATGTGTGAGCTGTCTCATCCTACTGACTATTCCTCGACGAGGTTTTGGTTGTTTCCCTTAAGAGCTCTCTTTACAGAACGTTAAGTCATTACCAAGCAAGCGTAGATATTTTTATACACGTGGACACTGAAAATGTGGTGTTTGTGTGCACACACGTAAGAACATACAGGGGCAGGCGAGCGTAGGTTTACAGTTGAGTACGTGAAACACAGCTCATCCTTGTATTATTAAATATGGTATTATTTGTATTACAGTTGTAAACCTACTTTTGCCCACCCCGTAGTGTATATGAGTATAGATCAATACACGAATACCTATGTGACTATACATGATACTATCCAGCCATAAAAAGAAGGAAACCCTGCCGTCTGCGCCGACATGAGCGGGCCTCGAGAACGCCAGGCTGAGTGGGAACAACCACGCGGGAGGAGACAGATGCGGCGTGACTCCACTTCCAGGAAGTGCCTGGGGTGTCAGAATCGCAGACACAGAAAGCAGAATCCGGGGGCGGTTTCTAGGTGCTGGGGGGAGGAAGTGAAACAGGGACTGTGGTTTGATGGCTACAGAGTTTCAGTTTTGCAAGATGAAGAGTTCTAGAGTGTGGGTGCACTTAACATCATGGATATGTATACTTAAAAGAATTAAGATGGTAAATTCTATGCTATGTAGTTTACCACAGTAAAAAAAAATGAGGAAAATCCCGTTTGGAGGTAAGTCTATTTTCCCCCTTTATGCAACGCAGGAATCTGTGCGGGGACGATGGACGAAGATGCTCCATGTTTGGTAAGTCACACCATCAGGCATGACCCCAACCCGAGAGCGGCTGGACCGACCACCAGGTAAACCTGTGCGCCGTGAGTGCTTCCCTACCTCCGAGTGCACGTCCTCACCCCAGCTGCCCAGGTGGTTATGGGGCAGAATCTAAACCGGGGCACTGAGGTTGTACTAGGATGGTCAAAAGCTGCATTAAACAGTCTGCGGGGATATAAGCCAAGTGTCAAAAAGAATTTACGGTTCAATCCCATTTAGGAACAGGTATTTAAAAATCCTGACAAAGTAACAGCAAAGTGAATCAGTGCTGTATAAAAGTTGTGTTTAGGAGAAAAGTAAGGATTCTTGATGTAGAAAAATCTTATCAATATAATGCATCACTGCAACATATGAATCAGGGGGAAATACATGAGACCACCTAGAAAGACGCAGGAAAGCACTTGGTGAAGTTTAGCTTCCATACACTTCCTTTAAAAAGTGCTCGGAGCGCGATGAAGGTGAGTCAGGAGGACAAAGATGACAGCCTGGAGCTGGCCCAACAGGGAGCAAGGCAAGCATCAATGCAAGCAGTGAAAACAGTGGGTTACCCTGCAGTGAATAAACAGATGCCCTCTCTCTTAGACACAGGAGAACAACTGGTAAAATATATAAAACGGTAATGTTGCAAAAAGGGAAACACAGAGGGCCCACAAACACAACAAAAGATGTTCAGCTTTATTGAGAGTGACAGAAAATACAAATTAAGGCCATTAGGACACCATTTTATACTCATCAGATTGACAAGATAGAAAAGGACATAGAAAAACATGAACTGTTATACATTACTGTCTGAAGCAGTCTAATCACTTTTGAAAAACAATGTAGTATTAAGTCATGAAGTTGAACACGTATGTAATTTACCACCCAGAAATTCTACTGCCACGTAAATGCCCTACGGAAACTCAGTGTACACACCCCAGACAACACAGATAAAAATGCACAGCACTACTCATAAACGAAAAAACAGAGGGAAATACCTAAGTGTCTTTCAGTAAGAAAATGAATAAATTGTGTTTTATTTACACAATGTAAAATATAAAGCAAAGACAATGTCTACACTCCATTAACACAGAAATCTCAGAAACCTGAGTAAAAATGTAAGTCTCATAAAACTATACCAGTTTTACAAACCTTAAAAACAATATTAATATTTAGCAATAAAAATACAGGGTGAGACAAAAGTAGGTTTACAGCTGTGAGTACAAGAAAGAGAGTCTGTTCTGGTGTCATTCTTTACCACTGTACTGTCTGCCACAGGCACAGCTGCAAACCCACTTGGGCCCCGCCCTGCGTGCGTTTGTTTAAGAGCACGAGTCTGGCTAAGTCCTGGGGAAAGGCGGGTGGAGCATGATTTAACAGGTCAGGACAACGGCTGTCCCTGGGGGTGCTGCGAGTTCTTGTTCTCAACTGGAGGGCAGGCTCGTGGCGGTTCATGTCATAACTTTGTTGATAACTTCCCTAGATAGTAATAAATGCCCTTCAATGTGAATCAATTACTAGAGAATAAAAAATAATAATGGTGTATTGTAGTAACATTAAAAGTATAGGAAAAAATCCATCAAAATTATGAAGAACTAATGACAAAAAAAAAGAGAAATGTTTTTAAAGAACAAATACTCATCAAAACTGCCCACCCAGGCTGAGGATATCTGCTCTAGCAGTCTCACTGACCCAGCACGTCCCTCTCCGAGAAACCTACTCAGCAAACCCCAGGTCCCTCCCTTCCAACCTCTGCTCCTCTACGCCCCATCTCAGCAAGAGCAGCCCCGCCCACCCGTCTGCCACCTGGACCTCCCAGCCCTGACACTGGCACCCCGACCTCCCCGGGGAGCCAGGACGTGTTCTCTCCTTCTGTCTAATCCCACACAATCTACCCTGTCGCTGTGGCTGTTACTTATCCTGTCTCCCCTCTTCCTCCACTCTGCTAGAAAGTAATCAACACGTGCGCTGGGCTCTCTGCAGCCCCACTCACTGGCATGTCCCACGTGGCTGGAGAGTCGGCACTCAGTAAATGAACACTCCACATCCTTCTAACAGAAGGCCCTGGACAGTATGTCACTCCATGGTCCCCTTTCATAATTATCTCTCTCACAGATGACATGTTAAGTCAGGCACAACCACCTCACCTCAGGTAAAATGACCCAAATTGAAACTCCTGGGTAGTCTATTTAAAACAAGGTCTGTTAACTGTATCACGGTTTTTGAATGCCACTTGTTTTAGTCACAGAATTGTTATGACTAGTTCCAACCATAAGCAAATCAAATACTGATCAGGAGTTTGTTTTAAGATCAGCTAAAAGGAGAACAAAAAGCAAATTTAAAAACCATTACCATGTGTATATAAATGATCTTCCGTAATTTGCATATATCAATGTATCCCACAACATACACTGTGAATAATGATGCAATCTGAAATTGAAACAGAAGTTGTTAAAAATAAAAAGTACATAGACAAAGGGTAGCTATAAGAATAAAAAAGATTGTTTTTATTGCTGTTTCAAACTAATTTGTATTTATTTTGAAAGGGAGTTCTGTAGTTTCCCTCTTACCCAACAGCTGACCATATCGAATGCAGTCAGCACACTAATGTAGCACGTATCAGCGGGTGTTTCTTTCCCACATGCAGGTCTCTCAATGAACCATCCAAGTGACCTGCTCTGTGAATCATCCAAAACCACACTCACTCTAATGCTGGGGTGACTACTGCCAACACGCACGGGCACACGCAGCCTCGCCCAGGAAACAACAGGAGAATGCAATTTTAACATACGATGATCGGTGCATAACGGGAGAAGGTACACTAAGCTAAAAAATAATTATGTAATGCATGTGTGTATTCACGTATTTTTATAATTAATACAGTGAGAACTTAAAATAACATTAAGTCCTGCCTGTTAGTCACTGTTTACAAGTATCTTCCTTAGTGTTCTCTTTCATTTAGACAAATATTCAAGTGTTAGTTACCCAACTTGCCAAATTTCAAGTGAGGAGGACTTGCACCACAGAGGCAACTTTGAGTCCCTCTGCAGCGCTAAAGAACACCGTGGGCGTGTTCACCGGGCACTCCGGGCACGCCGGGGCTGTTCACGTGAGCTGACTGCCGGACGCGTGCCCCTGAGTGACGCACGAGGTCTTACGTCAAAGGACGCCTCTCTGCCCTTATCCCTGCAGACAGGAATTCAAACTGAACTCCAAGTTCCTCCTACTTTGCCCACAGCCAAACAGTAAAACATACCACGTAAGTTCCATTCCTCAGGTATTTTATCTCCAAGCAAGCTACAAGGAAGCTCCTATCAGCGAGAGCGCCAAGGCTCCCCTTCCCCCAGGGCGGCCCCATCCCCGGGGTCACTGCGCTGCTGGAAATGACTGGTATGGCACCTCAGCAGTAGAGGAGTGTGCACTGTCTGTAAACCTCCCCCCAAGAGAGCACCAGCCCCTCCCCACACTCCAGGACCCCCCAGGGCACTCCCACCGCCCCCCCGCCCAAAGGCAGGCCATGTCCTCTCCCTGGAAACGAGGGGAGTGCTGCTCCCCTTCCACCAAGGGGCTAAGCAACACACAGCAGCCCACAGGGCAGGGTCTTAAGGAGTGACTCTCGGAGACACTTGAAACCAGACACATTTACAATGTCATCACAGGAAAGATGACAAAGGAGTCTAAGAGGTGAGATCGTAGAAAGAACTGAGTACAAAGACAGCCTCTTTTTAAACAGTAACAGCACCAGCAGCTCAGCTGGCTGAGTGGGGCAGAAGCACCAGGTAAGGTGTTAAGAGCCTTACACACTACCTCGTCTGACCCTAACCATGGGCCCCTAAGGTGGGCTCTTAACATCTTATTTCACGACCAGGAAACGGAAACTAAGGCGCGTTAAGCAGTCTGTCCAAGTTGAGAAGCTGGTGAATGCAGTCAGGATGAAATCCAGTCTCACTTCTCTTCTTAAGCTAGAAATTTCAGAGAACGTGAAAAAGCGACTCTTCCACTGCTTTATATGAATATAAACGTGGCCAGCACAATACAGAAGCAGTGCGTGTGTGTGGGGGGGGGGTCCGGGAGAGAGAAACACACAATAGGCCCCACTCTACAAGTGGGCTCTCCCTCGTTCTGGAGACCTCCGTTTGGGCAGAGAGGGCGACGAGAGGGCATGGCAAGAGGACACGTAAGTCACAGGTCAGTAGGGAGCTGCGGAAAGACGAACCGTTTCGCTGTTATCCTGGGCGTGCTTACCCAAGGTAAGAATGTACAGCGTTATTCACGAAAGAAACACATTTCCCTAAAAGAGACCCATCAAGTGAGAGTCCTCGCCCTCTCTCAAGCACACCAACAAATACGGAACGAGACAGGCATCCTTACTAAAATGCGAGTTCAACAAATGCATTCTTCTAGTACGTAATCAACACCCATTAATAAGTAAGTAAACCCTACACACTTCCCTAGCCGGAACTTTGTTTAAAAGGATTAACTGGAAAAAAAAAAAAACATTTTAGGAGTCAGAATCATACATTTCCGGTTCTATAATTTGATGCGAACGAGCTTAAGCCGGGGAGACACCGAAGCCCCTTACCTGGGTGAGAAGCACGAACTGGGCGAACTGCCACGGCAGCATGAAGAACACGTTGGAAACGCACAGGGCGACCAAGCTGCCTCGGTAAAGTTTCGTGGCCCTTGAGAAGACAGACACAAGTCACTCGGTTGAACCACGAAATATTCCAGCGTGGCTCCGACCTGCTGCAAATCAGAATCTCTCGACGTGATCTGGTCACACCATAAACCGGACAAAATGAACCGAGGGGTCAGAAATCACACCGCGTGACACTCGCTTCGGTAACTTTCTATGAAAATTACCCGTTATTACTGTAAAAACAAACGAAGCCTGACAAAGTGCGGGGGCCTGGGCTGGCGTATCCGCTGAATTTTGTCTAACTCTATCCTGGCAGATTCCTGTGGACAGATGTCTGAAACACCACTGCAGAGTCTGCGGCTGCGCAGGATTCCGCACACACGCCTGGCGCGGATTCCGTACGCACGTCCGGCGCAGGATTCCGCACGCACACCTGGCGCGGATTCCGCACGCACGTCCGGCGCAGAATTCCGCACGCACATCCGGCGCAGATTCCGTGCAGGCAAGTCCTGCACGGATTCTGCGCACACGTCTGGCGCGGATTCCGCACGCACGCCTGGCGCAGATTCCGCACACTCGTCTGCGCGGATTCACACCAAGCAGGTGACGAGGCCCTGGGATGTGGGGTGCAAGCGGGTCCTGCCCAGGCAGGACACAGACAGGACAAGAGGACCCAAAGGCGGGGGTCACTCCGAGACACCTTACAGATGCCTCACTTTGGTCCAACTTGGAATTTAGGGGATTTTGAGGAGGGTGCGGTGCTTTTATGTTTCACGTTACTTTTAAGTACTACCTTCCCCCTAAATCAGCGAGCCAGTGCAAAGCCTCCAACATACCTAATGTCTTTGCAACAGGAAGTGTGCATGTGAACGTCCTGAGACCACAAGGTGAGCTCCTCGGACCGTGTGACGGACCGTGGGATGCACAGATGCTCTGAGAGTCTGTCTTTATTTCCGGAAGTGTTCCTTCTCCCAAGGACACGCCTTGTGCTGTTCTAGTGCCCACCCTATCATGCCCCTAAATCGAGCAGTTTTAAATTCCAGTTACAAAATTAACTTGTTAGATAAGAACCAGCAACGTTTAATAGAGTACAGTGGAAAAAATAGGCTGTCATCCTACATAGTAAGGGTTGCACGCCATGAAACTGTCTGGGCTGTGTGTGGATAGTCGTAAATGGGTGTACAGGGTCACAATGAAAAACGTACTTCTTCTTTCTTGTAGAGCAGGGGTGTCACACTCATTTTCACCAGGGGCTGCATCAGCCTCACAGCTGCCCTCAAAGGGCGGAATGTAATTTCAGCTCCTTAACTGTTAAGGAGTAGTTACATCTGTACAGTCCTAAAATTATTTCAGCCCCCTGACAGCAACCGTGAGGCTGAAGTGGCCCCCAGTGGAAACGAGTTTGACAGCCCTGCTGTAGGTCACAGTCAGAAAGCTGAAAGCCAGTCTAAAACAGCCTTTTCCCACTACTTTCGAATACTGAATGTGACTTTCACTTCATGGGTAATGAGAGGCAAAGGAACAAATAGAAAGCCAAGGAAGTCCAGCAGGCAGTGGCTCGATGCAGCACCGAGCAAGGGCAGCAGAAGTGGGGACGGAGGTGCGGCCACAGGCAACCAAGTGCGAGCTAGGACTGGCTGGTATGAGGTGACTTATGCAAAACTGAACTTCTAAAAATATTTGAAGTTCAAAGCTGGACAAAACGAGTATGCTAGGGCAAAATATCTTCCTAACCTTATTTATAAATGACTCCCAGCATTAGGGACAGGCTGTCCCTGCTGTGCAACAGTGTCCCCAGGAGCTGCAGCCACGCCAGCAGTCCCCCTTCTTCCGGGCTCATCCGTGCTGTCCACTCCCCACCCCAGGAAATGTCGATATGGGGCGGGGGCGGGGGGCTGAACTAAACAATGTGGCTGTGCCACCAGAGCAGACAGGGTTCGGTGAGAAGGACGAAGTGCCAGAAGACTCGGCTGACCCACAGGGCTGAGGGCGCCATCCCTCGGAAGACAGGCAGGAGGTGGCCGCACCCCCAGGAGAGGACGGGGTGATCTGCCTGCAACGCAGCTGTTGCTACAGGGAAGGGACAGCAGCCACCAGAGTCCACACCAACGGGAAAACCTAAAACTGTTCTGCAAAAACCAACAGGAAAGACAGGAAGGAGCAGGTGACAAGGGGATGTGACAATGACCAGGCGGCTGAAGAACAGGAGAAAGAGCTGGCACAGAAGCACCCGGAGAACAAGACGGAAGAACCTACCAGAAGGCAGCCCCTGCAGCCCGGGAAGAGGGGAAGGGGCAGCCCCACTGTGCCTGGGAAAGAGTGGCCTCTAAACAGGCCCGCGTCCTAATCCCTGGACACTGCGCAGGTCACCTTACCCGGCAAAGGGGAGTGAAGGTTACCCATCAGGTGACCTCCAGGATAGGGAGATTAGCCCGGATTACCCAGGCGGATTATCCATATTATCCCAGATCATCCCGGATTACCACAGGGGTCCTAGAAGGCACAAAAGGCTGGAGGGAACTGAGGAGAGGAGGACTCAACCTGCAGTGGCCGGTCCTAAAGACAGACGGGGCCACAGGCCAGGGAATGCACACAGCCTCGAGAAGTCAGGTCAAGGGCACTGGTTGGCCCCTTGAACCTTGGGAAGGAGCGCAGCCCTGCTGGCACCTGGAGTTTAGGCTCCCCGACCTCCAGGACTGCGAGAGGTAAGGCGGTAAATCTAAGGCTGTGGCGGTTTGTTGAGTGGCCCTAGGGACCTGGCAGGACCTCCTGCAGCACATCCCCGGGTGGATGAAAGGGAGCAGGGCTGGCAGGCGAGCAGCTCCATCCACGGCTGCCAGCTCAGGGCGCTCAGTGAGGCAGGAGTGTGGGAGGAAGCAAAGGTTTGGCATCACTGGATTTAAGACAGAAGCAGAGGCGGAAGAAAATCAGGAATTAGAGACTTATGGGCAGTTCCTGCATCAGCTGGAGAAGCAAGACAAGGTCAAGGGTGTGGCTGCCTCCCAGGCTGCTGAGAAGGAAACTCCCGTCCAGGTGCCTTGGGGCCAAAGATAAGGAATTCACAGGTTTCCTTATATGACGACGCTAAACTAAAGAAGCTTTAAATCCCGTAATAAAAGGCATCCAAGAGAGAGCCTTCAGGCTGGAGTTGCAGGGACTTTAAGAGCTGAAAGGGAGGCAGCCAAAGGCCTATCCAAAAACCGAGGAAGAGACAAAGCCACCTCCCAGCTCTGCTCCTGCTGACCTTTTCACTGGTGACTCAGAGCGTCCAAAGTGACAGGCCTCAGCCGTGCCCCCCGTGTTCCTCAGATCACAGAAGGGACTTCTTAGTCCAAGCCATCTTCAGATTCCCACCACACTCCGTTCCGTTTTTCCATGGGCCCCTCCTGGTGCATTTTCACCCTAGAGCGGAGGCAGCGCCCTCTACACTCAGTATTTGTGGGCAGGAAGGTGGAACACTGTTCTCGGTCCTTCTCCCCACCTGGGTGGGGCTGGAATCTCTGTGCGTCTCTAGCTGAAGGCCAGAGGACCAGCGCCCGATCCCATACTGCATTTTCAGCAGGAATTCTCCTAGCAGACTTTGGGCCTATGAGTGGTGTCTCCTGCCTCTGACCCGCAGGGGTGCTAACCACATGGAGGGCAGAGAGGTGCACATGGTCCTGTACCTGGGCACGGCTGTTCTGCGACCCACTCTTAGCCCCAAAGGACCCTCTGCTGCCCCCAACTTTCCCCTTCTTTCTGCCTGTTTTTTGGGAGGCTGTGCTGGTGGCAAAACAAGCGGGACGGGTTTGCTGCTCCACGGGGGGGGTCTGCAGACCACGGAGAAAGAGGAAGGAGACTGGAAGGCAGGCTAAGGAAATGTCTTTGATAGTAAGTATTTTGACATTATATACTTAAAATAACTCTATGAATTCAACCTAACATCAACATGATCTTAGTTACGTTATTACATTGTTTTTATTGTGGAGGCTTATAAATCCTAGCTCAAGTTACTCAAGGCAACAGAAACCAAGGGGAGGGGGAGTTACCTGAGAATGTGAGTGACGAGCAACATCTGCAGGACGAGGAACGGGTACGAGAAGCTCTCACGGAGAGGCGGCGTCCACATCACGCGGGTGCACTGGGGAGGAATCACAGCGGACGGCAGAGTCGCTAACTTTGTTAAGTAAGGCGTGCCACGTGAGAGCTGCTATTTACGTGGACAGAGAGCAGTCTCCCGCACGTAATTTAAATGGCGTGTTGTCAGACAAGCCACGGATCTCTACCCACAGCAACGCTGGGGAGTGAGACACTGGCGAGAGGGAGACGCTCAGCACACGGACCCCAAGAGATGCGGACGGCGTGAACTGCCGACAGCCCAGCACCGAAAACTCCGGCGACAGCCTCACAGGACAGTGGGGAAAGGGCCAGCTGGCAGATGCTCTGCCAAAATGAAAGTCATCTCATTTGAACTGGTTGTGTAAATCGACATCGTTTGTCTTCTTTCACATGAATTTCAGCAAAACTATAGCTGAGACTGCAGAACTCTTTGCGGTCATCAGTGTGAGTGTTTCCACCCAAAGGCTGCTGAGAAGGAGTGCTCCAGCACTGTTTTTATTCCTCTTGGCCCGAGCTACCCTGGGCTGCAGAGTATTTAAAAGTGCCAGAGAGGATCCAATAAAACAACAGACGTCCTAAAATAGTCAAGTACCGATCTTTCTGAGAGTTTACTTCACACTTAATTACAACATGTACTGCCCCGGCTGTCACACTCAAGCATTCCTCTGCATGCACACTAAATATCCCAACAAGTCCATCTTTCCATTTTAAAACCCTGCACTGGAGTAAATACAAAAGCCAGATATTACTACTACTAAGTCAGTCACTCCAGAAGAAATCATTACGTCTTTCAAGTCAAGCAGGGTTCCTTTGAAGACGATACAGCATCATAATCAAGAGGTAAATTCTAGTCAACAGCATTAGTTTCCCTACCTAAGCATATCCCTACCTGAGCGTTGCACGTGTTCAGAGAAGTTTGGAGAGGTTGCTGGTTAGTCAGAAAGTTCAGCATCCTCTCCCTGCTTAACAAACCTGAGCCAAACACTCAACCATTCAGTGCTTCCACTTCAGTGCACAACAGAATGATACTGTTGACTGCCTGTCGACCACACGAGAACACTATAGGGACTGATGAGACTGTTTCGAAGTGTTCTGAGAATCTCTTTCCAGATCTTATGTAAATGATGTAACTACGTCAATAAGTAATTAGAAACAGGTACATTTACTTGTATATTTTTATCTCAGTTCAGTTCCAAAATATTTAAGAAACTAACACGGGACAGAAAAATACGTTACGTGTAATAAAAGGGATAACTAGCTATGTCTGTAAAGCCACCCTTTTATATGCAGGGTCCAGCAGAAGTAACGCCTGCGTGGGAGTGGTCGGTAGGGTAATGATATGGGTATGATAATTTACAGTTTTGATTTGAGCATTTCACCTAAACTGTTATATGGTGTGCTTGAGGGTGATATTGTTATGTTACAGAATTATATGCTTATGATTTTGTAATAAAAGACTTTGTAATAAAAAGGGATGTTATTTGTGCCAGACCCTGTACTTTGAATTATTCAGTTTAAAAAACGTAGGAATTTTCTTCTTCATATGTGTATACCTTTGTGTCTGCGAACATGGCTTATAGAAAACACTGTTAGGACTGACAACAATTTTTAAAATCTCGTCGTGAAAAAGCAAAACAAACCTATTTTACCTATAATAAATTTCTAACATTCAAAATTGGGGAAAAGTATTTAGTTTTTTTTTTAAATGTACTGATCTAGATGCTTCTCAGTCAGCGCCGTGCATGCTACACACCCCAGCTTATCGAGAGGAAACATTCTGAAGACGGAACAAACCACAAACTTACACCTGAGCCGTAACCCTGGACAGGAACAGGACCACCATTTTTTGAAAAACCTAGATAAGTGAAAACCTCTGCATGACTTTATCATGAAATGTATAACCTCTAAGCAATGAATAGCTCTCCTAGTGCATTTTCGCATGTTTCACATTTAAGCTTCTGTTTTAAATAATCGGGTTGTTTTATATTATGTATTTTGTAGTTCTTTTGTTCAGGCAAAATTTTTCCTATGTAAAATCACCTAAGAGAAAGATTATTTTTAAAAGTATGTCATATGTTCTCTTAGACTCAAGTCCAGAGCAAGCCCAATAATGGAAATAGAACTTAAGAGCAAGTAACAGTTCGCGACTGTTTTCCGGCACACAAACCACGGACTCCCAGGATGCAGTGAAAACAGCTCTTCCAGAAAGACGGGCGCTGACCGGTAAGCACCCAGCGGTTCCAGGGGGCAGAGCCCCGGTGCCGCAACCAAGCCCACTGCCTGCGTGAACGAGCAGGTGCTACAAGAGTAGGCGCTTCTCCCTACATAAAAAGTAGACACTTATTATATGTCCTAGGCAACACTTTTAAAAGTCAGAAAAATACAGGGTCTGAAAATCTCACAATCTGAAAAACAAAATGAATACAAAATTATAATAGTTTTCAGTTACTTGAGTTCTCACCATTACGACACACAAAACTTCAATTTATGCTCCCAATTTTAATATACGTCATGACCCAAAATGGTCATTTTTCTGCTCTAAGCTAGTTACTGATGCGAGTACAATTATCCACCTGTTTCAGTAAAACCAAAATTCAAATCACCCCGAGTTTACCTTTTCCTAAGTAGAAGGTGATAACTAAGCATGTATAAATATACCAAGTAGATGGAAAATACGTGTAAAATCCATCGACCTGAAAAACGACCCGGACGGTGGGAATCCCACCGCTGAACACTAAGGACTCTGTACCGAACGCTGTCCGTGCTGCGCGCGTCACCACCGCGAGAAAAGCAACATCGGGGATGAACAGCTTCTGACACCAAGGGCAAGACAGTGGACCTTTCTGCTCCCAGTCTTTAAACCTGCATCCAGTTTATGGGGGAGCCACCGGTAAGTAAAGTCACACGGGTTTTCAGGGTCCCTCCGCCACTGCCGCCCGGGCACGCTCGCGGCCCCTGCTTCCAGCGCCGGATGGGCACCTCCCGCTCCTCGATCCCCTGACGGCATCGGTGCTCCTTGCTCTGCGGTCCGCACTGCGACACTGGGCAGCATCCACAGTCAGAAAGAGCCAAATAATCCCTTTTTAAAATTTTCCCACTCAAAACTCATGCCAAACCAACTAATGGATGTTATACTGCAACCATCTGTCAAGTGCTCTAACCTAGAAGATCACCGTAGTTTTAAATTTCTGTGATCCTGAATATTCTGCATGTGTTATTAGTTCAACATCCTTTAGCTGTTCATCCCACTGAACAGTTAAAAAGTTCAATCTTGACCCCGCTGCTCTCAGAGCTTCGGAACACGCACACATTCCCAGACCGCAGACACTGAGTGTGCCAACACATGGAGCAGCTGACCTTCACCTCTCCGTGACACAAAACTCACTTCACCTGGAAGGACACTGGGCAGATCTGTTACTAGAAATCCAACTGCAACTCTGACTCAGCGAAAGGGTCTCACGGGCTCCGTGAGCGTCCAGCAGCCGGCAGTCTGGACTAAGTCGCAGCAACAGCACACACCGACCGTCACACGGCGGTTACCGTGCGCCAGGCACGGCTCCAGTCCTGTGCACACCCGAGTCCACCTACTGTCCCCCACGATCCCGCGACTGGGTGACGTCCTTATGCCCACTTACGAAGAGAAAATTAAGGCAAGAAAAATTAAAGGAGTTGTCCGGGTCACATGGCCACTAAATGGCAGAGGCCGGATTTGAACACAGGTAGGCTGGGCCCAGAGCCTGCTCTCTCCGGCACCGTCTCCTCAGAAAGCCCTTCGGTGCATGCAAGCGTGTGACTATAATAAAACAGTCTACACAGGACACGTAAAAGTGTATCGAGTGTAGTATAAATTCATTAACATAGACATGTAAAATACAGCTCTTACAACAAAAAGTTATCTCCACCAGGTAAATTAGCCCCATCCATGCAGTTTTAAATCACACAGAGCCCTGCCACAGACCCACTGCTGCTTCAGGTCACTGAGAGAGGTTATCACATAAAATACATCATGATCATGAAAAGTTAACTAAAATAAAAGCTAGTGTTTAAAGTCTGCATCAAAATAAGACCAAACATTTAAAGAATGCTACCAGAGTTTAAAGAAATTAAATTTTAAAAAGAAACCTACGCTTCCATTAGAAAAAGCTCCTAAAAATTGAAAAAATACTGGACTATCACAGAATGACCCTGTATTTCCAGAAGGAGCCCCACCCCCCCACCGCACGCGCCCCCCCCCCCAGTCTGGAAGACGAGCCCAGGCCGACCACCTACCTCCCCGTGGTTGAAGAAGAAGCACAGCACGGTGACCAGGCCTCCCAGGCGGCTGCCGCTGCAAGAGAGGGGAGAGGGAGAGAGGGGAGACGGGGCTCAGACGGCGGAAGGGCAGGCCTGGCCTCATCAGCCTGGAGACAGCAGGACGGCCCCCAGCACAACAGAGACTTCAGCCGCGCCAGAACTCCCCCACCTTGCTTATTTACAAAGTAACTTCTTTCCTCTAAAGGACTGTTAGTCAAAAAAAAGTTTCATTTTTAAAAAGTCATTCCCATCTTCAAAATGTCCAGACAGGGAGGGAGGACAGGAGAGGGCTTTGCAGCCACAAAGTTGGAAAACGCCTCACCTCATCCCCAAGCCACTGTTCTTCAGAATGTGCTCGGGGAACAGCAGTTCACAGAAGAGGTTTTATCTTTCAATTGTTTTCAAAATGCAACACAAGCGTCAGCACAGCTGAAATGCTCTTTTTCCTTCAATTCTGCATCTCCAGTCTTGTCCTCGAAGGGCTTCCCACCTCAAAGTCACGGGTTCTACCACCACACAGGCGATGGCAGGGCACCCCCCGTGACTGCGGACAGCCTGGCCAGCTACCCGGGGAGGCAGACTTTCTGGGACACGCGAATGCTCCGCTTGAAGCCGCAGGGAGCGCACCGAGGCACAGCGGCTGTGGAAGGATGGGGCCCCCAGCACTCCCCTCCCTGCCCTCCGCCCTTCGAGACGGCCGCAGGGGTCACTTTAGTTCGCTGAACAGAAAAGATGTCCTAGCCAGAATACTTGAAACTGATCTTTCCCCCATTACAGTTGATCGGTTACTATTTCAGCACTCCCTAGCGGTTTAAAGGACTTTCTTCTGCAATCTCGTCGCCAACTGTCAGGACACAGGAGAGCCTCGAGGGGGCAGGTGCTGCAGACGCTCGGCGCCCGCCACACACCCACCGCGGCTGCTCGCGGCCTCGCTCGCCTCTTGAGCCCCGGTTTCGTCAGGAATGAAGTAAGGGGATAGTAATGTAAAAGAACTTCAAGATACTTGTCAGTTCTGACACTTAGTAATTTTACAATTTTCTTTTTTCCTTTTTTACATCCTTCAGCGACATGGATTCAAAGCAATCATCGCATTTTTGTGGCTTCATTAATCATTTGGGGTTTCCCTCTATTTACTGAGGAATGATAAGACATGCACAGTTCAACACTCAAAGAGAAAAAAAGCAATCACAGTTCATTCTAAACAATTTTTAAATAACCCTAGGAGTTCGTTTTCTCGCTGAGTAAATGCTTACGAAAGAGCGCGCGCAGAGAACCACCTGGGGGTCCCTGGGTGGGGAGCCCAGTCTCCGGCCCCAGACCACCTGCTGGCCGGGCAGCGGTGCCCCCCCACCCCACGGGCCGGCTGGGGGCACAGCGCCTGCCCCCAACCCTGCGGGCAGGGACACGCGGGGGCACTGAGGAAAGAGACAGACAGTGAAGGCGAACAAGAGGACAGCAGCGAGGAAGGGCGAGAAAAGTTTTCAGCTCAGCCCTTCCAGTCTGGTACAAGCAACTAATCACTAATCAATACTCTAATTTAATCTTTGTCTGCCGGGGCCAAGAACCAGAGGGTTTTGTTTACTGGACTGTGAACATCCCAGTTCTTCGATGCAGCCGCCTCGGTGTCTAGGCCTGAGCCCTGCCTGTGGCGGGGAGTCGATGGAAACATGGAAGGAGACACAAAAATCGATCCGATCCAAAGACTGCGGGCATCCCACTCAGACGTGCAGGCAGACACAGCTCGCCTTCCTGTCATCGCGACCCCTGACCCTTGGCCACTGGCCCAGACGGGGCTCCTGCTCATCATCGGCGCCCCGTGTTCAGTGGGGTCTCTGCTGTGACCCCTCCAGACCCCTCCAGACCACCCCCCCCCATGCCCTCGGAACCTTCCATCCACGGGGACCCACTTCCTTCCCTCATGACCCACCCGGATGCCGCCCTCTCCCCTGGCCTGGAAAGCTTGCTCTCCTCTGGGAAGATGCTCCCAACCAGAGGGGACCAGACGTGCTCTCCTCTGAGAAGGTGGGCCCGAGGGGAGGCGACACCCCGACCGCCTCCCGCAGACCCTGCTCCGGCCCGTGGCCGAGCCCTGCTGCCTGTGTGGAAGCGCAGGGAGGCCAGAGCTGCTCTCAGGAAAGAAACCAGCAGGTTTCACGACTAGTCGGATGAGGCTGTGACTAAAGAGGAAAGTCGTGGGTGTATCACAGGGTTCAGACTTGGGCAGCAAACAGGGTAGTTCAGTGTCATCTGCTGATACAGTGACATAAAAAGGGGGCCGGTTCTAGAGAAAAGTTGACAATATTTTCAGCCAATAACTTTCATCAATTTATGTGTGCTAAAGAGAAATACTTGGCTTTTACATATTCATCTACAACTGTTGGACCAAACGACGAGATGTGCCAACAAGCCGGCTGACGGAACACTCTGAAAGCCACCGGGATGGAAGCGGCTGAGCCGGCGCAGCCCACGGCCTGCTGCAGACGCACCCGCGGCCCAGAGGCGGCCTGCGCGCACAGCGGAGGCTGGGCTTTTTACATGGAGAGCAAAACGACGTCCACTAAAACAATGGAGACAAAACTGGCAGAAAGAATGTAAAATTCAGCTTTTCCTTAAAACAGGTGGGGTACGGGAGGAGAGTAAAAAATTGATATGAAAAGCTGCTCTATTCTGCCAAAGAGCCTAACAAGAATCCTGAGTCCCTTCGTAGGTAACTCGGGCTGGACCAGGAAAGCTGGTTGTATTCACCGTGACGCTTCACTTCAGAATAGGAAGGGGCACGTTGAGCAAAATTTAAAGGGAGGTTTGACATACAGACTAATCCTCTCCTCTGGGCCCTCATGGCCTCTGGAACAGATCTAGAAATAAAGTAGTTTTAAAAAATTCTTTCCCGTATCAAAGAGACTATGAAGCTGCAGTGACCAGAGAAGACACCAGAGAAAAACAGACTCCGAAGAGGAATGCACTCTGCTCTCTGACCAGCTGGTGCCCCGTGTAGAAGGAAAGGCACTTTCTGATGACTTGTTCCATCTACAAAAGGATGGCCAGCTTCTACCCCCAGAGCCGGGAAGCAATGGAGAACTGAGTGGAGACGCACAGAGGAAGGTAAACACTGAAAACAGGAGGAAAAGAGCCGAAACAGGGCGAGTGGCCGCAGAGATACGAAGCAGCAGGCGTTGCACGTGGAGTGCATTCAGAAAGGTCACTGAACGGCCTTCTCCAACAGCTGTCTCAGCACGACACAGGGAGAGGAGGAGGGGCGGGGCGTGCAGGACCTGCCCCACGGCTGCACTCAGAGGCCGGACGGTCGCTGGGCCCAGGTGCCTTCTGCACCGAGGAGGCCAGAACCGGATGTGCCTCCTCCACTCTCTGCTGTCTGCTGGGAAACGAGAGAGCCACAAGAGGAGGGGCGCCTGGGCCCCCCCACAATGGAACTTACGGTCCGATCTCTCAGAAAACCCACAGGGCAGTGGGTCTGGTGCACCTCGCAACCCTCTGACCACCTCTTACGAGCTAGGGCGATCTGAAACATACCTGTCAGGTCAGGTGAAGGAGCACCTACCTACCTGGCTGTGGGGACACTGTCGATGTGGAGACGCGGACACGCAGGTTCAAGGAGACCAGGGCAGGTGGGGGGGGGGGGGGTGGTGACAGGGACATGGAAGAGGCAGAAGAAAACCGCAAGTTCAAAGTTCACTGGAAGCGCTGCCCCCTCCCAGAAGGCACAATAGAACACAATGGACAAAACATTCAAACGCAGGGGTTTGAGAAAAGCGGAGACAGAGGAGAAGAGAAAGTCGACAAAGGACAAAGCCAGAAGAAGTCTCCCCCACAGGGAGGAAGGCAGGCGCCCTGGCGGACGGAGCCCGGTGTCTGAGGACAGGAAGGGAGCAGTGTCTGCCACATGGTGGCCGCCAGGACACGGAGGAGAAGCAGGAGAGCCTGACAGATGCTCAAGGGGAACGCAGGCCCGCACCCGAAGGGGTCCACGCAGGACGGGGCCTGACCTTTGCACAGCTCTCCTGAACCTCCGAAGACACGGTCTCTGTGGAGCAAGCTCCGAGGGAAAAGACTACTCCAAGGGAAACCAGCGAACCCAGTCACACCAGTAATCAAGCACGAAAGAAAAACACGTGTCCAACATGCACGCACCTATTTTTAAACTCCTCCCACGTCCTCCTCCTTGGACACTGCCTGAGGATGGGACCCTCCAAAACGAAGGAGTGAGCAAGGGAGAAGCCCACATAGGACCAGCCAGCGGTGACCCCGACACAGAAGGGAAGCGAGGGGAGCTCTCCAGATGGGGGGGCCACACGTCCCAGCACGGCGGGGCCCACCGGCCAACCTGGGGTGGGAGCCGGGGACAGGGGGCCCAGGAGGGAGGCCCCAGGGCTGAGGGGGAAGAAAGAGGTGACATGATGGGTTTCACACACTTGCCAAAGTGTTTTACAGTTCAACTGTAGAGTTGGAGTGAACCGGTATGTAGAAAACGAAGAAAAACAAAACACTGGGCAATTATTAACCACACGAAAGAGCGGCTACCAGGTGGGCGTGTATTTACCCTTGACTCAGCACTGAGCCACATGCAGATCGTCACACCGACGTACACCTGGGCCACTGGCTGACACGTTAGACGCTCCGCGGCTTCGGAGACCTCGGAGCGAGTTTTCTCGGCAAAGGGACGGCCGGGCAACGGGGACATGTGAGGCAAGGGACCGCCGGTTCGCTCCACCACAAAAAGCCAGATAATTCCAAAGTCACACACGTGCACACAGAATGATGACCCTTGATTTAAAAACATCCTCGTAAGGGTCACACCAGCTGCAGGACACAGTCATCGGAAGAACGTTACTCAGTGAGCTGATTTGGGGACCTACTGGTATTTGTCGGAGAGCTATGAGGGGAAAAAAATCATGAAAATATTTCAGGTAGCATTAGAAACAGATGTTCTTCTTCACTGAAATAAAAGTGTACTTTATTAATTTGGGTGTAAGAACTATTAGACAAGAAATTTGTCAAAAACAAAGAAAAAGGCTGAAAACCTGCCAAATCATTCAAAACGTCCACATCGGGCGCAGTTCAGCACGGAGGAGGCCGAACCGGGGACAGACGTGTGATCACAAACAGAGACACACACTGGGCTGCCTCTCGTTCCAACTTGTACAGCAGCAGGGAAATGACTCTGAGGAGCGTTCACAGGTGAGGCAACTATTAGAACGATCATCACATTAAATGCATTATGAGAACAGAAATGGAGTCAGACAGGACCCCGGTAAATGGCAACACGGGAGCCAGAAGATGCCGACACCGCAAACTGAACTAAACGACGCCCGCAGACGGGTCAGCCTAAGAGCAGCAAGCCCCGGCCAGCTCGGGGTCGCTGGGAAGCGAGCTGCTCCGGAAAAGAGTGTAACTGTAACGAACGTCTGGATCCTTGCGAGGACCCTGTTCCTCAAAATACCTGTATGAAACTTTTCCATGAAATATAAACACTACCGCCTTTGGAAATGGAATAAACAGCTTTTTCTTCACGATTCGGTGTCTTTAAATACGCAGTAGCTGGAGCTGCAGACAGCCGAACCACTGCTGGGAAGAGGTGCGAGCGCACTCCCAGAGGCGGCAGAGGGCGGCGGCCGCAGGTGCTCACACTGCAGCCTGCGCTCCAACCCCACCTCTGCGGCCAGCGCACAAGACCTGCCTGACCTCAGGAGAGTTCTTCCACGCCCCGGTGCCTCGGTTTCCTCATCTGTAAAACGGTGAACCTACCTCATAGGGCTGACCCTAAGGGTTAAATAAGTGGATGATGGTAAAGAGCTCAGACTAGAGCTGGGTACACAGTAAGTGCTGTAATGTGATTCTTCCATAAACAACCAGCTCTAAATAAAGGGTGGAGTCTGCAGAGGAAAGGCAGATGAGTCCCTTGGAAAAATATCTGCTACAAGGGTAAATGCCCATAAAGTTTATGTCATAGATAAGATATTATTATTACTGTGCCTTTCCTATAGGGCGACCATAAGCCAAGTTTTCCTTTTCCATAATTTATTCACTTCATTCTATTCAACAGTATTTTCTGAGGGCAAGCATTCTCCCATCTCCTTGCAAGTGTTGCCTTATCCATTCTCCCACAGAAGACTCCTAACTCATTTAGGTCTTCTCCTTCCTACCTAATCACCTCTTAACAATTCTCCTATGTGTGTGTAACTCCCATCGCACTGACCCTGACAGACGTCTCACCCCCCTGTGACGACCCTGAAAGACCTCTGTCACAGTGTATGTATTTTTATAAGGCAAAGGCAAACCAAAGAACTGGCAGTAACTCTTCCTTCCCACGTCATTTATTCAAATTACAGAAGAACTCGGCGCTAACAGCTTCCACCCACAATGCAGAGCTCCCACCACGCTCCCCGGCCCCGCAGTCCCACTGCTGGCGGCCCCGCCCAGCCAGACAGGCGCGGACACTCCGCAGCAGGGCCTGCGCCTCCAGCCTTGGAAATGACCGTTGTAAAAGGCGCCTCGGAAAATGATACTGAATGATGACTTTAATAAACACATAGAAATTCTTCTTGCCATGAAAAAAAGTAGCGCCACTACAACAGACGAGCCACTCAGCAGTAACGTCGTGTCCCGTATTTTAACTTCTCTTACTTAACGCCTCATCCCCCCACGTAATGAAGCTCTCCGCGAGACGGATGAGCACGCTCGGCACACAGGACAAATGCCCCGTCTGTGTGCCTTTGCTCCTCGCGCCCCCGGGCACGGCAGCCCTGTTCTCCCCGGCCCAGCCTCCTCTCCCGGTCACCACGCACTTCTGGGTAAGCTGTCTTGTTTCAAACATAAAATCTTTCACATCTTTTTTTAAGATGTATTTATTTTTAGAGAGAGGGGAGAGGAGGAAGAAAGACAGGGAGAGAAACATCAGTGTGTGGTTGCCTCTCATGTACCCCGCCACTGGGAACCTGGCCCCATAATCCAGGCCTGTGCCCTGACTGGGGATTGAACCTGTGACCCTCTGGTTCGCAGGCCGGTGCTCAATCTACTGAGCCACACTAGCCAGGGCATTCACATCTTTTAATCATGCATTTTCATTTCAGTCTCCCCCAATTAAGTAATGAAAAGAACTTTCTCAGAAATAAGTCACAAATATTAGCATCAGAGTATCCAATCTATATGCAAATATATTCTCAGTTGATCTAATAGCTACCTCATTTAATAAATATCTATGAAGGAACAGCTATCTACTCAGATGCTAAGAACTCAATAGGTACTAAAATGAAAATGCCACACTTCCAAAGCAAAGACGAGAATGGGGGAATAGCAGATTCAAACTCATTAACACAAACTGAAAACCATACATACATACCCATGCTCGTACAAAGAATCAGTAAGCAGTAAAACAAAAATTCTAAGGATACTCTCATGGTAAAATACTTCATCAAGTACACAATTTGGAGAATTGTGAAGAGAGAGAGAGAAAGAAATAGAAAACCACTTAGAAAATCTGTTAATCTTTAGTTTTAGGAATGTTGCTTAATTACAAAGTAAATAGGGTCAGATAGTAAATACCTGCATAAAAGATATTTTTATTTTAGCCCGGACTGGTGTGGCTCAGTGGACTGAGTGGGGGCCTGGGAACCAAAGGGTCGCTGGTTCGATTCCCAGTCAGGGCACATGCCTGGGTTGCAGGCCAAGTCCCCAGTAGGGGGCACTTGAGAGGCAACCACATATTGATGTTTCTCTCCCTTTCTTCCTCCCTTCCCCTCTCTCTAAAAATTAAAAAAAAAAAAAAAAGAAATCTTAAAAAAAATTTTAAAGATATTTTTACTTTAATATTAGCAAAGAGCCATTAACACCATTTGATCATGAGTGGTCCTTTCCCTTATATTTTATGTAATATATATTGTTTATGTTCAAATGCCTATGGACTACCTAAAATGTATCAAACATGCCCACCATGTTCTACTTAAGCCTTTAAAATTATTCTCACTTTTACTGGCCATGACAATGGTGAAATCATCCAAATGGGGAGTACTTTTATATCTACAAGTAGATGGATTAGGAATGACACTGTTATAAAACTGAACCAAACTTTAATGATAATCCCACTATTTATATTACTCTAGCATACAGTAGTTCAAACACAGAAAAATATTCTCAGCCAACAGTCTTACCTTAAATATGTGCCATAAATGAAGAACAAGGCCATCATCAGTCCATTTAAAATAAAAATGACGGCAACATAAAAGCAAGCCGGATCTCCCAATCCTTTAAAAATAAACACAATGTATGTTTTAAAAACCACTTTATGTGAAAAGGCCCTCACTTGGAAGATGGCTGCCCGGTCCCCACCCACAGGACACGACCACAACACACAGATGACCGTGGCAGTGCGCGCGGCTCACAGCGGGGCTGCAGACTCACAGGCGCCCCTGCAGCACACGCGTGGGGCCCACACCCCGTCCTGAGCCGGGCGGGGCCTGCGACCACTTCCACGGTGGGCAGACGCCACACTCCGTGACTGCCCTGGCCGGGTCGTAAGAGGCCACTCGGTGTCCACGGGAGCTGAAAGGCCTCGGGGAAAGCCTGGCTGGCCTGAGACACACGCGGGACACACGCCTGCGCTGCATGGAAAGGGGACACGCAGGGGCCCCAGGTGGCAGTCCCAGGGAGCCCAGCCCTGTGGGCACAGAGGGTGAGCGAGGCAGCCCCCGGGCTATTCCGGCCGTCCAGCCACCTGCGTGGAGACACGGCCTCTGACCCCGGGAGGCCAGGCGGGCCCGCCACCCACCCACCCACCCACCCACCACGGACGAGGCCTCGTGCACAGAACGAGCGGCACGTGCCTTCGCAGCTTTCGATCGGGCTGAGTCCTTCTCCTCTGGTCACCGTCCAGCAGATCTTGGTTTGCACGCCGATCAAGTCCATTATTTTGGTGTAAACTCGGTACCAGCTGGCTAAGATTACCTAATTTTTAAAAAAGAGAGACAACAGGAGAAAAGACATGATCCTCAACAGTGTCCTTACTGGGACATTTTTAAGACACTTGGTAATTTACAGAATCTCCCCTCCGGTAGCATCACTTGGCACCTCGGAACCCTGGGAGGGTGGGCCTCGCAGCCCCCCACCCAGGCCCCACGATTCGTTCACCCACGGACAACAGCACAGTTCACCGGGGCACGTAAGATCTCCACTCTCGAAAGCTATAAACCTCGACTAGGAAACATAAAATAAGATGTGAACAAGTAGAAAGGTACTATGTCTTCCTGAATAGGTCTGATTTTTCGAGATGTGAATTCTCCCTCCAATTAATTCATAAACATAAAACAACACTAATCACAATCCCAAGTGCCCGCCCGGAACTGCTACCTGGAAGAACCACCACACGGAGACGAGGGGAGGGACGGTCCCCACCCACACCGAATGCGTCACTCACGAGGGAAACGGTGCGATCCTGGCACGAGAACAGCCGAACAGACCTGCGGGACCCCTGTGGCGGCGGTGGGCTGCCACCCACCCCTTAGGGCTGAGGCCCCCCAGGCCTCCACAGCCGGGGGGTGGGGCTGCCAGCCCTCCAGTGAGACCCTGTCTAGGAGCCCCCCTCTGCGAAAGGGTAAATTCGCTCAGCATCACCCACAGACAACGGCATCCTTTGAATGACTGACTAGTGGCAGGGCCCTTGCCTCCAGGACAGACAACTCTGCAGAGCCCTCCCCACTGCAGAGCTGAGGGGGCGGGGTCTGGCTGAGGCCTTTGCAGGGGCTGCGTCACAGCACCCGCTCCTGCTTCCTTCTTCCCCCTTCAGTCCAGATCCCAGGGCACCCCCTTACTCGTCCTGCAGGAAACCTCAGTCTCAAAGTCTGCTTCCCGACCTCAACCCCGGCCGCACGAAACACGAAGTCCGAACACAGAAGCAGCATCGACGTGCGACAATGCTGTGTGTCATGACGCACGAGGGGGGAGGGCGGACCACACAGCGAGGTGGCGGGTTCCGCAGAGGACCGCTGTGAAGGATGTGAGATTCCCACCCCACGCCATCGCAAAGCAAATCCCAGCTAAATTAAAGAGGTAAATAGTAAAAATGTAAGTACCACAATTAAAAAGAGCGAAGATATTTTACACACACGAGTGAAAGAAAAATCGTCCATTAAAAAGATTCGGACAGGGCAGCTCCGTACAGAAGAAGTACACACACGCGTCCTGCGCAAAGCTGGAAGGCAAACGAAAAGCCGGGAGAAACGCTTTACCCACGTAACACAGCACCGACACCCCCCGCGTAACAAGCGAGCTCTCGTGCGATTGCAATGGGAAAAGACAAAGGGCGTGAAAACACATTTTTGAAAGGGAAGATGCATTTTCCGCTGGATTCATACACACGCAGAGCAAAGAATCAATCAAATTAGCAAGGGTTCAGGTAAACAAGCATTTCCAAAACCACCGCTGACGGGAGTCTCCATCAGTGCGACCTATCTGGAGTGCGTTTCGGCGAGAGGTGCCTCGGCCGTCAGAGCGCACGGCCATCAAAGCACACGACCACGTCAGCAAAGCCCTGGCGCAGAAAAATACAGGCAGGCGCCGGGAAGACAGCTCAAAGACGGCGACAGCGGCGTCCGCCGGCTTTGAAGGGCTGGAAACTAGCAGATCTCTCACCGACAGTGGACCAGACACACAATGGTGCACTGTGCACACAGCCATTAAAGGGAAACCGCGGAAGACCACGACGACAAAGGGAAATGGTCACAAACGGTCTGAAAGACAAAGGCGCTTACGGAGAGAAAACAGGCCGCGCGATGCCATCTTTCTCCTGCCGCCCGACTGCTGGTGCTCGCGTGGTCACAGAACGCACTGCCAGGGAGCAGGGGAGCACGGAACTGCGGGGGCCGTTCCCTGGTCTCTGTCGCCTCATCTATCAGTGGGGCTGACTCGCTGACCTGGGGGCCCAGCCCTCGCTCCCCGGGAATGACCGAGAGCCCCGCAGCGCTGCTGCCCAGCCAGGGCCTGCGCCCCTGCGCAGTGTCCGTGGCGTCCGGCCCGTGGCGTCCAGCCCAGGCCGTCCAGCGCAGGATCTCACCAAGAAGGGGCGCACGGGAGTGTGTGCGTAACCGGAGAACCGCCCGCCCCACCCAGGGTGGCACTGAGGAGGGTGCAGCTCAGCAGGGCCCTGGAGAAGGCTCTCAGGTGTGTCACATGGAGCCCGGACGGCACCAGCGCAGGCCACACGGCCTCCACCAGATCTCACTGCCCCCCGCCCCCGCCGAGCCCTGCAAAGCCGATGATTTTTTTCATACTCCTTTCCAAGGAAAGATACATTTTCTTTTTAAAAATGAAGTAAAATTTAATGTATTGAATCATGCCTTAGATTTAGAATTAGCCATTAATACAAGTAACAGTTTTTTCTAAAGTAAGAGAATCACGAGTGGAGAAGTAACTTACCTCAGGGTAGAGATTGAACCTTTTTAACGTGTTAATGACAAGCGGGTACTCGGTCAGCTTGTCATTCATAATCGTCCACACTCCATTCAAGAAGGAGGGCGCCTCCACAATCGTCTTGAAGTAGGAGTAATATAATCCCTGGGGTAAGCGCATGTCACAGTTATAATGAAAAGTACGTAACTACTACACGTCTCATTGGCTTTAAATAAAAGCTAAAATACACTGGTTTTAAAAAGCAAAGCAATCACACAAGTTAACAGCTACAATCAATTCCACAGATTTCTAACCACTGATAAAGTTTTAGGTTGCAAAAATAAAAAGCTACATATTTTTGTATAACTTCGTCTTTACTGAAGCAACCGGGCTCAAAAGAACTTCAAAAATAGTTTCCACGTTAAAAAAATAAAATAACTCCGCATACTGCATTTAAGAAAACCCTATAACCCATATAATGTAAGTATTAGAGAAGATTATCTTAGAAATAGGGTGAATGATTTACTACAGAACTTAAATTTACCCTGAACCACAAATTCTTCCCTAGCCAAAAATGTTTCCCCCAACTGCTTATTTGAATCCTTGTTTTGTAGGTTTAATTTTTGGAATAATGTAAATATATTCTTTAATTACAAAAAAAATTTAATCCTTAACTATCAAAAAAAAATTTTTTTAGAAAAAAAATTAACCTTGCTGGGATAGGATTCCCAATAACTTTAATAAGATACAATGATTTCACTGCACGTCCCCACTGTATATCCTAAAGCCAGCTGGGAAGGCAAACATAAGTAACTTCAAACCCAAGATTCTCAGAGTAACAGGAAAGTTACAAATTTAACGTAAAATAAGTAAAACCCATGAAATCCTAACTCTGAATTTAAAAATACGAAGATGAACTAATAAGGTTCCTTTCGGTTTCCTAATTCTGTCCACTAAACAGCCGGTCGAGGAGCGGCGAGCACCTCCAGCAACAAGACTGTGGTCTCCAGACACCACCCGCCCCAGCGCGGCACGGGGCTTCCTGGAAAACCGGAGGACCCCAGGTCCGGAGACGGGCGTCTCAGAGCCCCGGAAGGTCGGGAAGCTACAGAACACGAGCACGGCTAAGGGCGCACAGAGCCCACCGCCCGCCAGGGCTTTCACCACCCGACGGCAGGTGAGCTCACAGAACACGGGAAAACCCATCGGATCGTAACGACGCTCCTGCAGAAGGAACTCCCCCGGCCACCGTGAGAAGACGCAGGGGACCGACTCGCTTTTTGGAAAAGCGGTAACCAGGAAGAAGCAAGAATGAACCCATCTTACCCGTGTGAAGCACACCTCTAAGAAACCAAGTAAGTATCGTAGGAAAGTTCTTTACAGAAGAATTATAGTTAATAGTGCGGAAAAGGTAATAGAAGAGGTAATCACCATTTGGCAACCCCAACAGAATAACTGACGTAGGCTGATGGCCAGCTGACGACAGTAACTAACGCCACTGATCAGTGCTAACATCACAGAACGTGAGTCGGCCAGGTACGGGGTGCCTCTGCGTGCAGTATCATAAATGCAGAGCATCACTTATGAAGTGTTCCTGCAACCCCCCCCCAAAATCAAACCTTCAGCTGCATAGGCTCTTACCTATCAATTTTCAGGAAACTTGGGACAGTGGAACATAACAACATGAATTATTTTGGGTAATTCTATGGGAAAATGGCCAGGATTCTTCAAAAACATAAATAGCAAGGAAAACAAAACAAAAATGGGAAGAGGAATGTATAAATTGAAAGACTTAAGAGAGAAATAAGAGATACATCAACTGAATGCAATGCATCAACCGTGTCTGGCTCCTGACTCAAACACACCAGCACACCAAGTGTAAAAAAAAAAAAAAAAGAGAAAGAAAGTCAATCAGGATATTTAAAGAGTGATTGACACTTGATGTTATTAAGCAGTTGCTGTTCATTGTTTTCAAGTGTGACAAGGGTTCCTGGTTAGCGAAAAAAGTCCTTCCAAAGAGACCCGGGACAGTCCTTCCAGGTGGAATGACGCCGTGCCTGCGGTCCCCCGTGAGGACAGCTGGGCGTGCGGGGGCCGGGGGGGGAGGGGTGCCGTGGAGAGAGCCAGGTGCGTCCCCGGAGGCCGGCACCGGGGATGCGCGGACGGAAGGGGTCTACTCTTTCCACTTTGGAACATCTTCGAGAATTTCCATAAGAGAAAGCTTGAGATTTTTAAACTCCTGAAACGCCCCGGTAAAACACCACAGGAAACTCACTCACCATTTCAGTGCGAAAGGCCATCTCCCGCTCCAGGGTCGAGAGGTGGGAAAAGTGGCGGTCGTTCTCGAAGAGGTGGGTTATGTGGCTCCTGCGGAGACAAAACCGCAATGCAGCAACGGCGTGGGGATGCTAACATTTCTGAGGGAAACACTAAATGCAAAAGTAAAATCACCTCATCATCTGAAGGTAATTTTGTGGTAAGACTCAAATACAATGGCACCCCTACTTGTTTCTCTGCTCGGCATGTCCTACAGTTATCCTAAAACTTCTTTCTACTAAAAGGGCCATTCAAATTAGATTTCAAAATCCGAATGAACCAGGGTATTTTAAGCCAAGCCCAATGAAATTATAAACTATAAATGTCACTGAGTTACCATTACAGAAATGTCTGATTAATGAAATTCACATTTCTATCTGGAAGATTAAAAAAATTAATCTTCTTCTCACCACGAACACCAAACTAATGTTAAGCAAAGCACAGTCTCCAATCTAACCTCTTCAATAATGAATCTCTTTATTTAAAAAAATTACATTATTCTGACCCTGATTTTTCAATTAAACTACTTTTTCAGACTACTGGGCGGCATGCGATAACGTGTATTCATCCTTATCACACTGAAATTAGTCCCTTACAGCTATGGGCAACAGTGATGGCAAGCCATCACCACCTGCATAGAAAAAAAACACAAGAGAAAGACGGTCTTACCAGTGCAATACGGCGGCACAGGCGGCTGGAAGAGAAAGAAAGGTGCATCACTACGGGGCCAGGGAGCCGAGTTTCCAGCTCCCAGAAAGCCCTCCCGCAGGTACCCCCGGCTCAGGACGGCAGAGGCTCAGGACGGCAGACGGCGAGCTGCTCGGGGGCGGGGGAAGAACATTCTCCCTTCAACAGCAGCCCCAGGGCTGTGCCTGAAATATCAGCGGGCTGAGTTATACAGGAACTAAGCATACACATGTCTACAATTTTCATTCACTTGCTCTTTCGACAAGATACACGACGGCCTGTTATTTGTCCGAACCCCTTCTGATGGCAACCACATCCACACACAGGACTGTGCAAGGGGGAGAACCAGCCGGGAGAGGCAACTCGGAACAAGAAATGCGTTGACTCCAGGCAACAGGACTGTGGATGGTGGATGGAACAACCGTGAACTCTCGCTTTTTCTGTGCTGCTGCAACACTGGAATTTTTATGAAAACTTTTGCTCTTTTGAACAAATTTAAAATGAACGACATAGAGGAGGAAGAGATGGCGAGAGAAAGAAGAGAAGGTAAGGGAGAGGCCGTGAGAACCGTTAAGAAGCAGACGGCAGACCAAACATGGAGTCACTCATGCTCAGCCTCACGGCAGCAAACCCAGACGTACTTACTGCCCAGCCCAGCGACAGCGCCGGCCGGCCCGGGGATGACGCAGCCTTCACCCGCCAGCCCGGAATCAATCGCCGGTCAGAACTAGAGAGGCCGCCGCAGGAAGGCCCTTCCCCTTCCCCTTTGGGGGGCCACCTGGGCTGAAACAACACACTCTATCTTACTCCCCCTTTTTGCCTTTAAGAACCTTCCCTTTCCTACCGCCTAGGGGAGCTCCTTTCTGCTTGCTGGACGGGATGTCCCCCAATTCATGAATCATTCAGTTACAGCTTTAAAATTCACTCGGCTGAATTCCTGATATTTAGCACAATCAATAGTCTGCTTTTTGTCCAAATACAAAGAACATATTAAGATGAATCCAGAAAATACCATTCAATTCTCTCATATCACGAGGTTAATCTTACTGCAGTCTTTTGATTAAATAACTACTAAAGAATTGAACAATGAAAATACTCTTAGAAATAAAACCAAACAGCTCAGATCTTTTGCCTATTCTTAAAGAAGTGTTTAGCTTAAAAAAAATACATTTTACCTGGGAGATATCAGTGGTTATAAAAAATAAAGTTCCTCTCTAGATTGCTGAAACTGCAAATATTTAACTAGGTTTGTCATTTGACATTTGTTTATGCCACTTTGACCTTTGGAAATTGATTCTCTTTCTTGTTGACAAATCTGCCATCCACTTTCCTTTTGGTTAATGATTTCACCCCACCATGGTAAAATCTGGGGTTTACTTTCTCAATGATCTAATAACAACTGTTCTGAATAAACCACTCTTCCCTCACGGCATGCAAATGCCCCCTCCATCATCCTAAGGACTTGTCTTCCTTTGGTAATCCCTTTGAAAAGATGACTGGGATTTCAGCCCTGGCTGGCGTAGCTCAGTGGATTGAGCGTGGGCTGCGAACCAAAGTGTCGCAGGTTCGATTCCCAGTCAGGGTACATGCCTGAGTTGCAGGCCACGACCCCCAGCAACTGCACATTGATGTTTCTCTCTCTTTCTTCTTCCCTTCCCTCTCTAAAAATAAATAAATAAATAAATAAAACTGGGATTTCATCTATAAATTAACTTGGGAGGAATCTTCACGTTTACAATGCAAATCCGCACATTCATGTCCATAAACATGCTATGTACCTGCAAGTATTCATCTTGCTTTTCAATTGCCTTGACAAAAATCCCTTCAGTAGAGTTAATACATATTTTAATACAGAGTCAATTCATACTTCTTGATACATTTTCCTGGGAATTTAACATTTTTTTTCTGCTAATATCCATGAAATCAATTTTTCATTATACATACCAGATATTGTTAATGTATTTTTCAATTGTATTTATTTCGTAATGTATGTATTTGTGGCTTATTCACTAAACTATTAGTTGTCAGTCTTTTCTGGTTTATCCTCGAGTCTCCATATTAAACAATATTATTTAAAAATAATAATGTTGCTCCTATTTTAGAATTTGCTGTTAGTTTCTTCTTCCCGTCTGGCAATAATAAACTTCTAAAATACTCAGTGATTCTCTGAAAGAAGGCATCCTGTCTTCTGCTGGCTGGAACAGCAATGCATTTCACACCATGCCTTTAGACTGGCTTTTGACCTTCACAATTCTGGAGTGAGAAACAGGATGTCTGAAGGTCATCACCCCCTACTCCCTCAGAGTACCGGGACTTCTCAGGGGGAGGACGGGAGGTACGGGGCGGCCCTGGACACCTTCCTCGGTCCCCTCCACTCTGCTCCTGCGGCACCAGGGCCGACAATCCCGGGCATCTGAATGGCACTCTTTCGAGTCTCTGGGTCCATTCATAATGTGCCCAATGTTTGAAACCCTTTGTTCACTTCCACTGAATAGTGATAATCACACAGCAGCTAGCATCTGAGCTCTCATCACAGGCCAGGAACTTTCAGTGCTCTACGTGAGCTAAACTCAGCGCATCCTCACAGCTGAGTCCCAGGTGGCGGGTCCGCACTGGAAAACGCAGACCCACGACATACCAGAGGCCCGCCCCAGGAAACACCATGGGACAGGATGGGGGGTGGGGGCAGAGAGAGGGGCACGGCAGAGCCACCCACGACCTGGCCCTTTGGGGGACAGGTGGTCAGACCAAGGCTAAAACCTCCTTACTCCCCTTCCCTTCTTTTAATATTAAAGATAAAAGGAAAAATGTTGCAATTTATCTGTTCATATAGGCAGTACGTTTTATAGAAGCTATTTTTATATAGAAATGTAGAGCTATGCTTTAATTTATTCAAAATAGAAATAAAGTATATGTATATGTCATTTGAAAACGAAAGCACAAGCAGATACTTACTGCCTTGTGAGCATGTGATTTAAGCATAAACACATGAAATGATAAAAATTTCTGAAGGCACCCCCAAAGAACTTCTCATGACTTCATGACTACAAATCAGATTAAAACTGGTTTCCTCTCAATTTACTCAAGGGATTATCAAGCCCGTTTATACTTTTTTGGGAGTGCCACAAAACTGCCAGTCCATTTTTTTCCATTTTAACACATATATTTTCCACTCTGAGGTATTCGAGTAAATATAGCAAGTTTTTTTTAAAGCAAAACCTAAAACTAAGCCTTAAAAAATCCAAACTTATTCAATCACAAAGAGGTGTTCGGGAAAGAAGGCCCGCTCTGCGGTCAGCATCGGGAGACCACAGCCCCAGGCGGAGCTCCGGGAGGCTCCGCGGGTTTGCTGGGAGCGCGGACTTCCAGCGCTCGGAAACCAAACCGGGCGCTCTATCGCGTTCGATGAAAGGGACTCTGTACCGGACTGAATGTCAATTTATACTCATTTTCAGTGTTCTGGGATTCGAGCGGCCTGTTCACTGCAAGTTCTTCTTCTTCTGTTATCAGAATCTTGTTTACACAAAACAGAGCATAACTCCCTGAGGGTGGAAACGATCACTGACCTTTACTCGAGCACACAGCCGAGCACACAGCCAGACTCAAGGGTTTGCTGAATTCATGTGCACGACTTGATATAATTAAGGGGGAATGAAATAATCCTAACTCGTGTCCACACAACACACCGAAGATGGATACACACACGGGCACAGACACACACGCACGTAATGGTTTGTTTTTCCTCCCCCCCCCCAAAAAAAAGTCACCACCGACTCAGTGTAAATTAGAGCCCTGGTTCCCACGCTTGGGGGCCCAGAGCTGGGGTGCCCGGAGCTGGGGTGCCTGGAGCTGGGGTGCCCGGAGGGGGAAACGGCTGTGTGGCCGCAGTTCCCAAGGTCCTGCAGCAGCTCCCGCTCCCCCACACGCCTCCTTCCAGCCCCTCACAGCTGCAGCCCCCAAGGCCAGTCCTGGCCTTTGTTCCTGCCCTTCCACAGCGCCGCCCAGGCAAGTCCAGGGCCCCACCCCACTGCCCGGCCACCATATCAGCAGCAGTGAGGGGGGGCAGGAACAGAGAAAGACACAGGACAGGGGGTTCTTCCCTACTGTTCTGACCAATCCCCAAGGGCTCCCAAGCCCCATTTCCTCTGCACCCAGCACCCAGCACCCTGCCTCTCAAAGCTGCGGGAAGTCCCGGGGCCCTGCCCAGCCCCATCAGCATGACCAGGAAGTGGAACCCTGCGATCTGCATTTTTGAGATTCCTTGGCTGCGTCTTGGCCTTGAACGTCCCAGCGCAGGTCCACAGGGCCTCTCTCTGGAGCGAGGAAAGCCGGCCTCCAGAGGCGCCTCCTCCCAGGCACACGGCTGCTCGAGGGCAGGAACTCTGGGGACCCAGGGGTCCTAAGCCCAAACCGCCGCTTGTCTCCGCCACCCTGACAGGGCTGCCTCCCTCCCCGTGGGTGGGCACTTGGTGACCTCACCTAGTAACAATATTTACACGGAGAAATGCATTCTAAGTCCAAAATGACTTGCAAATTTTAAAAACACAACTTATTTCTAGATCGAGGTTAATCCATGCTTAAAGAAAGAGTTTTAGCCTCCCTAACCCTCAAGTGACAAAATGACAGAGAGGTTGTGGACGTCCCTTAAATCTGCTAGGCAAGGCTTTCAAGTGGACCGCGGCGAGCTCTCAGTGTCCCAAGCTTCTCAGTGTCCCGGGGGTCCTTCCGGAGGGGGACGCTTCTCTCCACAGGCCGGAGTCAGCGATGGAGAGCACAGCTGCCCCACGCCGACTCACTATGGAGAACGCGGCAGCGTCTGCACGGACAGACCCAGCAACACCCCCCCTCGTTTGACCTGCCCCTCGGCCTCCCAGGGCTCCCGCCGCAGGCCCCACACACAAGATGGCCTGTTTCCAGTCCATCCCCGCCGCATGGCCATCGTGCAGGCTGCACTGGGCCACGGCCCCCTAAAATACCCAGTGCCTTCCCGATGCTATGCCTGTGCAA